GGACGTTGACCATATCGCCCATTGAGGAAAGCAGGAAGACGACCACTCGTTGACTCAACGTATTCAAGATATGTGACACGATGCGAGTCAGACGAAGGACCCGCACCCCAAAATTGGAGAGCCCGTTCAGCAGGCAGCGCTGCGTACAGTAAACCAATGAAAGAGTACAACATAGCGATGTCTTGCCGTGGGGTAGCGCTGGCTTTGTCTGCTTCTGGGGCAAGGCTTGACCCAAACCGAGATGGAACGCGATTGCGTTCAGTCCTCGCACTCGCGAGTACAAGGTCTTCCTGCCTTTGTTTAATCTTGCGGAGCTCTGACGATGCGTGCGTGATCAGAGAACGGACCAACGTCTCGAATGTGGATACGACAGTGACTTTGAAGTCGTCTGGGGGTGTCTCCCGTTGCTCTTGCTCGGCAGGAGGATAATTGACTAAAGAGGCTGCGGGCACGCTGCCATGCTTACGTTGCAGATGTACCACCGCGTATGCAAGATAGCCGAAAGCATCTCCCTGGACCGCATTCCACACCTGTGTCTCCAGTTCCTCGGTTGTGAACCCAGTTCGGTGCTCTAAACTTGCATCGTTGTGTCTTGTCTCTGTCAAAAACATCGTCCACTTGAGAAGAAGGGTTGCCTTGAGACCTGGTTCCTTCCAACTTGTAGATGGTGCGAATTTTTTGGCCATATACACCAAAAGCGAATTGTCCGTGGCCAACATTTGTCGAGATGACCCTACACGACTCGACGGGTCAAAAGGGTCGAACGCAAGAAAGATAGCAGTAAGGATGTAGTAGAGTAAGGGATGAGTGGGGTTGGTAGAAAGCAGGTCCACAAGGTGCTTAATTTCTTCCACGGAAAGAAATCCCAAGCGGGAAATGGAACATAGAGAAGTGGCGAGGTAGCGCCTTTCATAGTTGAGAGATTCGTAGCGCGAATTTAGGGCATCGTATCCAAGCTGAGGGTTCCCTTGAAGGTAGTTTGCATTGCAGGTCACAGAGGAGGACTGTGTGAGCTCACCTTGATCCGAGGGTGCAATGGTATTACTCCCAGCGCTCCTCCTCGCAATATCAGCTCTACCAATGAGGACGTCTAGCTTTTCAATCTCCTTGACGAGTCCGGGAGCCACAGCAGACTCCCCGCTACCCGACCCACTATCACCCAGCAAATCTCGGGTAAATTTCGCCAAACGCGTGTATGTTGGGAGGACTTCGGCTCCTTCAGCAACTTCTGCGGCGTCGAGCAAGTAACGCAATGAATCAACGAGATGTCGCCGGTATAGGTGAAAGTCCGCAACCGTGTTTTCCATGCAATTCACAGGCGCCAAATTTGGATTCCTCAACATGACATCGTGCAGTAGGCTGGCAACGTAACGTTCCGAACAGTCGAGTTGCTGCGACAGAAAAATGACTTGTCGAGCGAAGTCAGAGTTAACGGCGACGGATTTGCCATTGATGGTGATCTTTCCTAGAACAAGGACATTAGTAGCTTCACGGAATCAAGTTACTGCATCACTTACCAGACTCCACTTCCCGTTGTTCCTGTGGGTTGCGTGGCCCGACGTCAAGCAATTTGAGCAGACGCGGTTTTTGAATCATTAACTGTTCGAAAAGTTCTTGTTCGTCATGTTCGGGCTCTGAGGTTGTCAGAGCCCGTATGAGAACTTCGCGAAGCCAAGATATCGAATTCATGGTCGTAAAGTTATGAGCCGCAGGCGTCTGGATAAAGGACGCGACAGGCAAGCGACTTGCGGCTTGCGCGAATCTCAGTGAGGTTGAAGGAAACTCACGCGTTGAGGCACGTGTACTTACACCTCTATTTGTAACAACCACAAATAGAGAACCACACCAGCTACAGGATATGAGATGAACAAGAGCGCAAATTATATACAAAGGTAGATAGCGAAGTAACAGTAAATGGTATGTACATTTTGTCGACTGTATGGAGGTAAGTAGCAAGTGAGTAGATTGATATTATGATAACAAAGTCAATATATGTGACAAGAATAATGATAGTAAAGAATGGGGTGCAGGTACGTGACGCGTCGAGACCACGGGCAACATGAGGCCTACAGCCCCTTGGCGGCTTTATATTCCTTGACGATGACTGGGGCGTCCGAAGCGAGAGAGAGCTCAGGCTCCCATGTCGCGTCTGACTTCGGATACCCCAACCAGAAAACGTGGAATTCCAGTCCGTTGGGACCTTTTCGATGTCCTCCAAGCCGGTCGACTTCGTATCGTTTTTCAACAACCAACTTCTGATCCGCACGGATACGAGAAACCCGACGAGCAGAGTCCGACCACGCTTTAGGCACGACGGATGGCATAGGTACATAATCCTCGGATGGCGAGAAGTTGCGGCGAATCTCAGTACGTCTCCCTTTCAGGTGAGGGTGGGCGAGGCGACAATACTTGTCTACCTCACAAAGTGTGTGTTCAACATCCGCCACATCCATAGGAAGTTTTTTGGGCCCCAAGCGGGAAAAGTTGATTCCCAGCCGCTCGAAATGCTGATCTTGAGTCTCCACAAGCCACCTTATCACGTCGACTTCGATATCAGATTCAGGACCTTTTGCTCGCGCGATGGTCTTGCCGAACATCTTGGAAAGGCCAGAGGATGAACCCGGTCCAGAGATAACAAAATCATTCGCGTTGAAATTGAGGACCTTGGTATACGACAGGTTGAGCATCAGTTGATAGGTCGTGAAATCACCCATGCTCGGGAATGAGATTATGTACTCGTAAACGTCGGCGAGAGTAGGAGCGTTCAAAAGCCTAAAAGCCAGTTGATTTTCCATGAACACTTCGAGAAGGCAAAGATGATTCATGTAATTATCTGTATACCCGAAATGCGGTGCTGGTTTGATAAAAGCGCCCGTGTACAGAGTCATGCCATTAGATTTTGCCTTCGCCAACACGTGGTTATACCTCTGTCTGTCGTAGGTTGCCCAAGTGAGTGGCCCCAACTTCTGGTTCAGCAGTTCCCAAGTCTCAATCTTGGTAAAGGAATTGAATAGCAGAACGCGAAACACGATCTCAGTCGGATCCTGTGGGCCTTTTTCGATCACTTCGCGGATCATGTATTGACAAAGTTTGTCAAGCACGCGGTAGGTATTACAGAAGTAATATTTCTGCAAGATGGGGTCGTCTGTCCACCTTGGCAAGCCAAACTACGCATTAGTAGTCATAAAGCAATGACGATGACGGAACATACGGTGCGGATTGTCCAGCTCGGCGCCTATCATCGATATTCTTCCGTTCGGCCGCGAAACGCCAGAAAGTGTCAAATGCGACCGTGGGTTTGAGTTGTTTTCCATTTACGGTAATGGTGTCCGGGAGCGTTGAGTAAACAGGGACGAGACTTTTTGAGGACGACTCCGATGGCTTCCTGACAGGAACTCTCGCAGCAGCCTGCACTGTCGGCCCTAAAAAATGATCGTTATTGAGGCTGTGAGACGAAATATTCTCCATTCCAACAGCGTCCGAGTGAGCGGAACCCGTCGACGAAGATTCACGAGAGATACGAATCGCGTTGCGCAACGACTTTCGATTTATGGGGAAAGTAGACGCGCTGATGGAAGCCACGGTCACTTCATTTCCGGTACGGATTGCGGGCATGGTCGATTTTGCGTGTTCTAAAAAAGGCTTAAACATCAGGGAACGCACGTTTCGCAGACATGAGAAGCTTACCTGGTGAAAGACGCTACCTGGTCAATATACTGTGGGTCAACGGCACTTGGAAAACACCCACGCAGTGACGTTGACAGAAGATGGGAAATAATGGTGGTTGGACTTTGAGACAGACCACGTTTCCCACGTTTCGCTCCTTTCGTTTCATTCGCCGCCGGCAAAGGAAATATGTACTGCAAGCAGACTACAAGGGATCAAAAAGTGCGTCAGTGTAAAAAGCCTTAAACCTCGTTAGCGCAACTTCACGGTCCCTGTCGATCGTCTACACACAACGTGGTTCTTACTCGTAAAAGAACACGATGCAGTCGATCGCTAATCGTGATAATCACAATTTCTTGATTTGTATGGTATGTTGGTATCGATAATGTTCATTTGGATACAGTGAAAAGCTTGTACCCAGATCAAAGATGAAGTGGTGAAGACTTGGAGTGGATTGTGATGCTGACAATTTTAGGTCGCTCACGCTTGAGTCAAGTCAAAGTTTAAAAGCTTGACATTGAAGTCATTTAGGCCTTGATCATAAGCAATTAACTGGGCAAACTGACACCACGTCGACGGGCACGAGCAGCGCCAGCGAGGTTTTCCATGGTCATCCAAACCTGAGGATCAGCTGGCAAGAAGGGTAAAGTGTGGAGAAATTGCGTCATTTCTACCCCAGGGCAGATCCTGACCAACTTGAAATCTCCGGAACGGTTGTGTGGACGGAGGCAGACGTTGCAAGGTACGTAGAAAAATTTCCTGAGAACTGCAAAGCATAACCAGAGATAATGAATGTGTTTCGGCCACCCTGTGGCTCCTGGTAGTGAACAATATCTAGGCTTGCGTGAAAAGATTTTGAATGGAAAAGTTGTTCAATTAGAGAAAATTTGATCCGAAGCTCGCAATCAACGAGAATCAAGGAGTATGATATGCGACAAGATGGACCGAGGTTCTCTGATCTTCCGACTGAGTGATTGAGATAATCAGATTCATCCAAGACAGGACATATTCCGGGGGAAAAGCTCCATTCGGGATCGCGGTACCGATAACTATCTAAATCCTGGCAGGTAGAGGCAAGTAGTTGCAAGTCCGTTTTGAGATGATTTGAAATATGGATGTGGCACGTTTCATCTGAGCCTCTGAGAGTCAGGATTGCTACCTGGTGAGAGAAGGTAATGTCGGGCGTAGGATAATCGATAGCAAGGGGCTAATCTGTTGTGTCAGGTCCATCTGCGCGAGTACATCTTTTGTGTTGAACAAGGTGCGTGCAACGGGAGCTCGATCCGAGCCAGAGCAATAGCATTGAAAGGTAACAGGAACAAACAATAACCTTCATGGCTACAACGACGGAAATTATTGGCGATGCAAATCAACTGTTAGCAGCGCACTCGAATTTAATTCAACGTCTAAGGACAACTCAACAGGCCCACCGTCGTCAACTTCACTCTCTTCATTCACCCCCTCATGATCTGCTAAGGTTACCGAATATACCTTCACCTCAACCCTCACCTCCCCCACATGATCAGTCACCACCACTATCTCCAAAACCTCAACAACAACCGAGGTCTGACCTTCCACCGGCGAAGAAGGCCCGTGTGGCCCGATATCGTAATTATGTCCCAGAAGAGGAGACCATTCGGAATGATTATTCCCAGCGTTATGTCGACGGCGGGGAATGGCCTCAGAATTGGGTTCTGGGAGCTGAACCTGAACATAGATTCGAGGAGTAAGCTTCACGTACTATTGCATTTTCGACGCGAGTATCAACCAGCCAACCCAGATATCCAAAGCAACAGCGTCTATTGAATCTCAAGAAGGCGTCTGTAACAACCCACTCATTACCGCCAACATATATACCCTACTCCCAATTAACATCTCTTCAACCGAGTAAATTCGATGTTATTCTTTTGGACCCGCCATTTTCTTCCACCTTTACCTGGGACCATCTTCAGGAAATACCCATTCCAACTCTTGCTGCGGACCCTAGTTTTGTTTTTCTTTGGGTTGGAAGTGGTGCGGGGGAAGGTCTCGAAAGGGGAAGGGAGGTTTTGGCAAAGTGGGGTTACCGACGGTGTGAGGACGTAGTTTGGGTCAAGACAAATAAAGCGACAAATCATGGACCTGGAGTTAGTGCTTTCCACGCTATCTTTTTACAACTTGGATTGAGCCAGCGTTGCAGACAGACCCACCGACCACCTCATTGCTAACGCGGACAAACCAACACTGTCTCATTGGTATCCGAGGCACAGTTCGTCGGTCGACCGACAGTTGGTTTGTTCACTGTAATGTCGGTAGGTTGACGGTACTTCTCTGGTCATCAAATACCAACAATTGTTTCAGACACCGATGTCATTATCTGGGAAGGGGACCCCACAGACCCAACGAGAAAACCTCCAGAAATGTACACGCTCATCGAGAATTTTTGTCTAGGTCTTCGCCGCCTCGAAGTTTTTGGTCGTCCGTCTTCCTTACGAAGAGGATGGGTTACCATCCTCAGTCTAGGGCAAGAAGAAGCTCTTCACACGACAGAAGATGGTGTAGTATACGTCGAGGGTGAAGAAGGCGGTCGTGCTGGTGTATGGGTTCAGGAAACGTGGGAGGAGGGGATCAGAGAACTATCGGGCGGAGGAAAGCCTGTTGTTCCCATGACCGCGGAGATAGATGCTCTGAGACCAAAGTCTCCGTTTAGGCCTGGTCAAAACACCAACGCTGGGCCTGGTGGTGCTGGGAGTAATCCTGGTGGTGGAGGAATGGCAGGCGCGAATCGATTCGCGACAGCGAATAATATGAACAACCGGAGTGGGTTCCTTAACTCGGGCGGACAAAACCAGATGATGGGTGGCCAAAATCAGTTGGTGATGGCGCCTATGATGGGTATGGGCGTCCACCAGCTCGGTGGTGTGGACGACATGATGGGGAACTGGAATCCCATGATGGGCGTTGCTGGGATGGGTGGTCCTGGGATGGGTGTTGGATTGGGCATGAACATGATGGGTATGGGTGGTGGCTTTGGTCAACCAGTCTTCAACGGCGGGTGGGGCGATCCCAGTCAGGCTGCATATGGCCTCGACGCCGCGTGGGACGGCGATGGCATGATGGCGATGAATGTCCAGGGAATGATGAATGGCATGAATCCCATGGGCCCTATGGGCATGGGATGGGGACCCTTCGACGGGTATTGAATTTTACATATATTATGTAAGCTAGCTTTTCCGACCTTGCAACTTTGAGCAATTCTTCAATTTCTTGCACAAACGATCAATGGGAAAGAAGGCTGCGAAATCTACAAAAAAGTTCGCCACGAGCGGCCAATTGAAGAAGACGATAGAGGCCCGGCGCAAACACCAGCAGATCCGTCGAAAAGTTGAAGGTCGGAAAGGGCAGAAGAGTGGAAAGTCCAAGACACATTCAGAAGCCCGTGAAGAAGACGGTGACCAGGATGTCGAGAACGAACCAACAATAAAAAGGTGGACCCCTCGTTCCCTTTTTTTTGGTGTGCTGATGACATTGGAAGCGTGAAGCGACTGACCGTCGATGACTTCCTTAGCGGGAACTTTATGCAAGGCAGCGACGACGACGACGCTGAGGATCTGGAGGTGCGTCGTCTTGGTCTTGACCTTTAGCCGTCTGATTGTCAGCAGGATATAGGCAGCGACAAGGAGTCGGCGGACGACGACGACGGTATGGACTCGGACGATGGTTCCTTCGCCTCTGTGGATGACCTGGAAAGTAAAAAATATAGCCAACCATGTGTCCTTCGCACAACTCACTTTTACTCTTAGCGGAGGGAGAGCTCCATCTTCACGAGCTATCAAAACTCGCTGAAAAGGATCCAGAGTTCTTCAAATACCTTCAGGAGAACGACCAGGAGCTCCTCCAATTCAAGCCCGATGCGCCTATTGACGCGGCCGCTTCGGATGATGAGGAGATGGAGAACGCTGAAGATGTCGTTATGGAGGACGACCGGCTTCCTGTCTTGACGAAGGCTCATTTGCAGAGGTGGCAAAAAGCTCTTTTGGAGGTATGTTTGGTCACTTGAATGCAGATTTTAACCCATGATGTCGATATTCTTTCTAGCAACGATCTCTTCGAGCTCTGAGAAAATTGTTGATTGCTTTCCGGTCGGCTGCCCACATGAACGAGGAAGGCCAAGTGTTGGCTTGGAGTATTGACAGCTCCTCTGGTATGTACCTTATTATTGTTTTGTGTGGATGAATTCCTAAACGCCCGCCGTTTTAGTGTATAATAAACTCGTGACCACCGCGCTGATGTATACACCAGTCGTACTGGAACACCATATTCCGTATAAAACTCTCGCCAACGGGAAATTGTGCGCCTATTCGCTTGTTTCATCATTTACCAGCCCTTGACATACAACATTACAGCAAACAGCCAACACAAACTCAAAAATTCAAAACTTTGCAAAAGCTTGTGCTTTCATACTTGAACAATATCATCCATATATTATTACAGCTCACCGATAATGAAATGCTACGATTGGCATTATCTGGGAGCGCTAAGCTCATTCCTTACATTATGTCAAGCCGCAAAGCCGTTAAACAGTATCTCAAAGTGCGTCGCTTATCTGGAATTTCTTCAAGAGTCGCTCTTTCTCATTCATTTTTAGAAATGTTTGGAGCTGTGGTCAACTGGAGACGATAGTGTTCAGATAGCTGCATTTTTGTCTATCCAGAAGCTTGCCTCTTCGACAGATGAATCCGTAATGGACATTATTCTCAAAGTATGGTCTTTCATTGTTTATCATGCGATCTTGTGGCTCTAACTCACCCTCAGAGCACGTACCTCGCCTTGATGCGGTCCTCCAAGTCAACCAACGCGCACACCCTCCCTTTGATCAACCTAATGAAAAATTCGGCTTCTGAACTGTTCTGCGTCGACCACTCAACTGCTTACCAACACGCATTCGGCTACATTCGTCAACTTGCCATTCACTTACGAAATAGCATGAAAATCAAGACCAAGGTGAGCAATTGTCCCTCTAATGTGCAATATTACATAACCTGCTCTTCTGTGGCTAGGAAGCGTACAAGCAGGTGTACAACTGGCAATATGTTCATTGTATTGACTTCTGGTGCATTGTTCTGGGAAGAGCTTGTGACGCTCAAACAGAAGCACAAACTAGCAAACAGAGCGCGCTCCGGCCCTTGATTTATCCACTCATTCAAGTCTGCCTTGGGTCTATAAAGTACATGGTGCTTTGATACCCGCCCAGTTGCTTGCTGATAAAATATACAGGCTGGTCCCCAACAGCCGCTCATATCCTTTCCATCTCCAAATTATTCGATCTCTTTTGCATCTCACTCGGCATACCCGAACCTATGTTCCCCTATCTCCATACCTCGTCCCAATCCTTACGTCGACTTTCCTGTCATCACGTCCAAAGTCAAGTACACTGCGGCCTCTTGACTTTGACGTTCAAATCCGTGTGCCTCATCAGTATATGAAGACTCGCGTGTATACCGAGGGATTAACGGAGGAGGCCGCATTCCTTTTGGCAGAATGGCTCTCCAGCGTGCCTGTTCATGGCAGCATCGCCTTTCCAGAGATTGTGATCCCTGTGGTTGTTGCATTGCGCAAGAGCGTTAAATCATCGGCCAAGGCAGGGACGAACAAGGATCAAAGTCTTGTCAAAGTCCTTCTGGAACGAATTGATGACAGTGTGAGATGGCTAGAGCAACGGAGAAAAGATGTCTCGTTCGCTCCTGGGAAATTGGATGTCGTGAAAGATTGGGAGAGATCTCTGGTATCCAAACTGGGCGATGCACCATTAAGCAAGTATGTCAAAGTGCAGACAAAAACACGAGAGAAACGTCGAAATTTGGTGGACAAGGTATGTGGCTGAAAGCATATGGTTCTGTGACATGGGAAATTCTGACTTAACCTAACTGGGTAGGCACGAGATGGGGAGGACGAAATACTGGAAGACTGAGATGCCTTTTTTTTTTTTTGTGGCACCATCTCGAGTTGAGATAAGATCGGAATTACGGTTCATGTCCATATATTACTGTCCACCATGTCGATCCGTGTATCGCATTCAGGATCTAGGGATTCATCTCAAGGCGACATGACGTCGATTTGATGGAACGTGCGCGTGAGCTTTGAGATTCAACATGAACATGAGGCCGTGAAATCTTTGATAGCCCAAGGACGATGATTAAAAAACATCAGGAAGCATGAAGATGGCAAATACCACAATCCTGAGGCAGCTGAATGCTACCATATTCCGAAGAATACTTTCCACCACGGCCTACCAATTCCCTGAGCACTCTTTTCAAAGCCTTCCACAAGGCGATCATAATGCAACGGCATCGAAGTGGGTTGTAGCATCTTCTTCGAAAGAGGATACTACAGAAATACCTAAATGAGGGAGACAGTCCAACATTAATGAATGTGAATAACGCACCCTTTTTTGCATCGCGTTATCCCTCAATGCACGCGTCGCGTTCACTGCTTGCGGAGTCAACTTGGGGTGTGTCGCCAGCGATTTCAAAAATGTTTGAAGCTGGAGATTTGGCCGAAAAGGATCTACGACCCATGTATCAGCAATTGCGATGAGTTTTTGGCCAAGTTTTCCTGATGCAGCCGCCATTCGATGAGTGGTAGCCGCCGGTGTTGACGACAAGTCCGTGCTGTAGGGATTATTTCGAAGTCCGACAAACCGTGTTACCCACAACAAACACCAGGAGCCAAACGTCGAGTAGGATTTTACCCCTTCTTCCTTCTCCGATCGTGATTTTATATCCTCTAGTGTGTACTTTTATATCTTCTAGTGTGTACAGCCTGCAATCGCGCACACACAAGCAATCTGATTAACACGTCTTGTTACACGCTACATTGCGATCTTGATCTTCAATGATGTGAAGACGGCTTTACCTACGCGTCCAGAGATGGCTTCAATCATTACTTTGCCGTTCACCTAGCGCGTTTCAAGGTCTTTCCAGTCTGCAACGACCCGTCTACCTTTAACTTCTCAGAGCCGCCGAATCGCAGATTCGTTTTCGAGAATGTCATACGATTCCTCGAATGGACAAGTCTCATGAAAATGCACTCAACGACCTCACTTTAATTTAGTTATTGTTCGATTCCGCCGGAGCTCGCATAACCTTACAGGATGAAATACCAGTTGGCCTCAGTTTACTTTGTCAAGTCAACCCTCCATCTATGGGTAATGGGCAAGTCGGGGCTCCACCGCGGGTCGATGAGGACGCCAGAACTTTTGGCGGCCGCAATCGTAACCGGGACGCTTAAACTCAACTGCACTCATCTCGCTATTCAAAACTTTGGTTTAATCACAGCAAATGAATGCAAGTTAGGCGCAATTAAATGACACACCCACGGATAAACGTTTACCTTTGCAGACTAATGAATAACGATTTGAAGTGCATGCGCTCAAGATCATGAAGTTAAATTCTACGTGCTGCTGGCAAGGACCCTTGAAGGCTTTCGAATTTTGGTCTAGAGAAACCGGTTGCCGATCCAGACAAAAGTAAGCTCAGGAGGCTATTGACAAGCTGTTGACGATTCTGATTTCAAAGTGGTAAGTTTGGTGTAGGACTAAGGATCTGGACGAATCGACATATTTTGAAGCTAACCCAGGCAAATAAATTCTTTCCGACGAGATTCTTTGGCAGGCGCAGACGCCATCGGTTGTGCATCTTGACCATGTTATTCTACTTTCAAAGTTGTGTCTTGATTAACGCTTACTGTATGTATGATAATTTTTCTGCCCACGATGAACCGGTTGAGCTTGACTACGGGATGAGATAAGGCCATTGGGACAAGGAGGTCGAAGAACTAATTTCTAAGTTACGACTTACTATTGAATTCCATCCTGGCATTGATATTTCTCTCGTTCGATGACTTTCAGACTGGATCAAGAATTACGACGGACAGCATCCTCCGCGATAACCAGAATCAAGCATGACATAGGCTCTTCGTTTATCTGTTCGCCTACCTTCGAGGTTTTGAAAGTTGAATGTTGAGCGCTAATTAGAAAACTGATACACAGCCATCAGGCACGCCCGCTGAAGACGCCCAAATCGGTGCTTTTCGTGTTTTCTTGACCTGTTCTCAACTTGAATCTTGTTCTGCACCATGGGCTGCTGTGGTGAACCTAACGACGGCAACCCCCCGACTAACCATGGCATTCCTGCCTATAATGCTGGAACTATTACCAGCCAGCCGACTGGGCAACCGATGATGGGGCAAACCCAAGCCTTTCAGCAACCCCTTCTCGCGTCACCGCCAGCGGTACACTCCACCGGCAATGGAATGCAGCAAGGCACGCCCTGGGGCCAGTCTGCTTCACCGCCGCCTATGAATCAGTTTGGGGGGTACGGAGGTTCCCCCTCTCCGCCCCTTCCAACGTCGACACCATTGAATGGTTCTGTGTTCAATGGTTCCAGCGGCTTTTCGTCTAACGAGCCCTTGATACGACCACCGTCGGCCGCGCAGTCGTCTCTTACTCCGCCAATGCCAAATAATCAGCTGAACACAACCACTGTTGCCGACGAAGGAAAGATGTCAGTCTCAATCGATTTTGGTTGGTGCCATATTATTTTTACGTGACTGGCGCTCATACGGTATAGGTACTACGTTCTCGGGTGTCGTAAGTGCTATTGGAAACGGATGTGGATTCAGACTAAAGGTTTCTTCAGGCCTATGGATCATCACGTATCGCTGGAGGCCAGGTCCAGCAGATATTGAATTGGCCTGGTTCATTCGAGACTTTCCGAAAGGTTATGACACCTACCTGCTTCTGCGATTCTTCTCTGACAGATAGTTAGATCCCAACCTGCTTGTTGTATGATGAGCATGGACGGGTACTTGCTTGGGGTTTGGAAGCTAAAAACGCGAGCCCAATGGCCGGGACGACGCGTTGTGAATGGTTCAAATTGTTTTTAGAACCCAACGCGCTTCGCGATGAATCTGCTATTGATCCGCGCCTGCCCACTCTGCCGGCAAGTGAACGCTTGACCCACGACCCTCTGCTCGTTGCTGAGCTTCTTTTTAGCCAGGGAAAAAGGCGATTGACCTAATCATCGACTTCCTCAGCTGCTTATGGGAATACGCAAAGGACCAAATTACAAGGGATATTGGAGCCGTCGCTGACCTCAGTACGCCCTTTTGCTTCGTTAAGGGTAATTTATTGATTCTGACTAACTTCCTAATAATAGACTCTGCCGATGTCTGGTTGACCGTCCCTGCTGCGTGGGACGCACGCGGATGCGACATCATGCGAGAAGCTGCTATCTCGGCTGGCCTCGTTCAGAGCTCTAGGGCTGGCGATAACCAATGGAAAGACCGATTGAGGATAATCACCGAGCCGGAGGCCGCAGCTGTCCATTGCGCCCACTTGTCCAACCTCCATCATCTCAAACCCTCTCAAAATTTCATTGTATGCGATGCAGGTGGTGGCACTGTCGATCTTGCGGTTTATAAAGTGCGTCCCTGCAAAATAATTGCCTTGCCTTCCCGACCTTTTCCCTAGATAATCGGGCAAATGGCCAACCTTGAGATTGCGGAGATGTGTGCGAGATCAGGCGCCAATTGCGGTAGCTTATTCCTTGACCTTCGTTTCCGGGAACTTGTCAAGGTAAGATCCGATTTTTATTTGTGCCATTCTTGGTTTGCCAACCCGTTTACTAGACTCTTCTGGCCGATCATCCTGCCCATCTCGATCCAGCATCCCTGGCTTATTTCAGTCAGTGAGCTTAATTCCATTGTGTATCCCCTTCCTCACCTTGCGTAAAGTGCATTCCTTCAGCGAAACCGACAAGTTGAATTATTCTGGTATCGAAGATGATGGTCTGTTCTCTATTCAATGTCGCTGTGCGGCGAATCACGAAATTCATAGATAATATGTTCCACTTCACCTGTTTCAATGTCGAGGACCCTCACGACCCTTCGGTCGGGCTAATTAACGGGCAGTTATCCATTCCAGGGAATCTATTACGCAGGGAGGTTTTCGATCCCGTTGTGAACGAGGTACGTTATTTGAGTTCACTTAAACCCTTTTCTTCACAAAGTTACGGTTGCGAACCTTGTCAGGTCTTACAACTCCTTGAGGAACAAGTTGCAAGAGTGGATCAAGTAATCCATGCACTACTTCTTGTGGGAGGTTTTGCCGGATGTGAATATCTAAAGCAACGAGTAGAGGTGCGTATCGTGACGCATCCTTCAGTTGTTCTAATTGTCGACTTTGTGATGTAGCAACAATTCTCGTCTCGCATTCGGGTTATTGCGCGACCTCCCGATTCGGATACCGCAACTTTGCGAGGTGCAGCACAATATGGGCTAGCTCGAAGGGCCCTTGTTTCTAGTGTTATCGCACCACGTTCCTATCTTATGAAGGTAAGCACCCACTGAGACACCGGTTTTCATTTTCTCTCACGATGCGTATTATTTGTCTTGAAAAGGTGAAGCTTCCTGCTGAGCAAGACGACTGGTTAAAACGGCCAGCGTACATCAAAAACAATGCCGCGGGTGTCCCCATTTGTGACAACAGGTGCGCTATTTCGCTCTGCTTTCTTTTGCTCGCCTAACGAAGCCGCCGGCTCGCAGGTTGCAGTATCTTGTATCGAAAGGCGCAATTCTTCGAAAAGGGTGTGTCATTGAATCAATTCTTCACAGCATCGTCTAATAATCCGTGAATCTAGACAACGCTTGACAACCAAATTTTGGTACGTCACCATGAGAAGTTAAGGATTTCGCAAGGTATTATTAACAACCGATTCGTAGCAAATTCTCTCAATCGGCGCAAGGTACTTGGCTCGCATCGCCGTTTAATTGAATGATGTTCTGACGGGTAACAGATTCAGCCTTCGTTGCAGTGCTCTATACAAGCGATGCTGAGAAGATGATGCGCTACACAGACGAGGGGGAGACATTCGAGCTATGCAAATGGACTGTGGATTTGTCTTCGCTTCCGACTTTCCGCCAAAACGCTGCAATGCCCCAAATGGGTGGCTTTTACACCGGTATGATCTTGTGTTTTTCGAAGAATTAACCCACTTAGAGCATCTGTTAAGAATTCGAGCTGGGCCTGGAGCTTGATAGCGCCGAGGTTCGAGGCATCCTCTTGTACAACAATCAAGAATGGGGAAGGTTCGAGTCTCGTCTCCCTTCTCGTTTGATGAAACTCATATTCTCACGCAGAGTTACGTTCGACTTTTTGAGCTAGGAGATTGATTCCCAGTATCTCGATGGATTATACCCTCCGTCAGGTTTGGGTTATATTGTGCTGTTTTGTGTAGCCGTCACTTTGATTCTGGTGAACAATCTAGTCTTATGCTCAGCCTTTCGGAACTATTTCACATCCTCATGTACTTAGTGGGCGAGGCTTTCCTTTTGAAAATCATTCGAGTTTTATGCAGGACTGGGGGCTTCTGAGAATGCATATGGTGTGAGGATTGCGTTTTGGTCGGTGTTGAAAGATACATCAGTGATGGCGAAAAAAATGAGGTTGCAATTCTGAAATTTCGGCAGACGGGTAAGTGCATCTAATTGTGCCTCGGAGAAACGGTGATAAATTGTATAGGTGTTGATATGACGCACAAATTTCAAAGGAGGATGGTGATAGGGCCTCGTTGAGATGATCACGACCCTGTATGACAGGGAAAAGCCAATCTGGAATTGATCGCGACGGGCTTGGAATCCGAGATACGTTTCCCTGCTCTCCCTGTGTTTCCTCCCACTTCAGGCATTGCTTTCGCGTGGTCTTATCGGGCCTGTGCCTCGGCTCCTGTATCTTCCGTATAAATACTAAATTTTGCATCTAGATTTAACACGAAACTTTTAACTATCCGGGGTTGGCCGTCGGCTGAGCCCGCGCCATGGGCCGGAAGAGGGAAACGATCGGAGCGTCATCTATACCCACCCATCACTTCATCGACTTATAAAGCGTCGCAAAAAAATCACTGGTAGGTGTAAATTCCTATCGCTCATGTCTTCTCAACTTCATGCTCACCCCAGCTCCATACCCTCACAGATTCTATATACCCTTCTCACTCCTATCACTGTGCCGTCCCAGCGCGCACGCTTCACAAATTGGGGCCAGACTTTTCATTGCACCCCTCTAGCTATCTTTGAACCAGAGAATGAATTCCAGTGCGAGCTCATTCTAGAGCTTGCACGTCGCGAAGGAAAGGTCGTGAGGGCTGTTGGCGTCGGTCACAGTCCAAGCGATCTTGCATGCACCAATGGATTTATGTTGCGAACGACGAAGATGAATCGGGTTTTAGAGGTAAGAGGACTTTGTTTGTTGTTGTTTAGCATTGACAACCCCGGGCCGCTAATCTTTTTCACAGGTGAACGCAGAAAAGCGCTATGTGGTTGCCCAAGGCGGTATCACGCTTCATGAGCTCCACATTGAGTTGGCAAAGAGCAACCTGGCCATGATGAACGTTGGTTCCATCTCTGACCAGACGCTAGCGGGCATCATAACAACCGCCACCCATGGTTCTGGCATTGGTTATGGAGTCATGTCCACCCATGTTATGTCGTTGACGCTTCTCCTTGCTGATGGCTCTCGCGCCTCATGCTCGCTTAACGAACGTTCCGAGCTATTTATCGCCACGCTTTGCGGTCTGGGGGCGACGGGCATCATCCTTTCCGTTCAAATGGAAGTCGAACCCGCGTATCGCTTGAAGGAGTACCAAGAGTCGCTTCCATTCGACGAAGTTGTTTCAAATTTTGACAGACTTGTCTATTCGGCTGAACATGTCAGATTTTGGTGGTTTCCCACCGCTGATATCATACGCTGCAGCTACGCTGATCGAACAACTGAGGTATCAAACTTAGTTTTCACTGTCAAAGTTACGTTGTTGACAACTTCGGTACATTTAGCCCAAAAAACCAGCGGGAAGTTGGCTATGGCATTCCTTCTTGGGCTACCACGTTGTCCAGTTGCTATTGTTTCTCGGGCGGTTTTTCTTGTTCCTTAACCCCTGGATTGCCAACTTTGCTTGTTGGCTCATCAGCAATAAATCTATTGGAGTTGATGATGGCCATCACATATTTAATGTGGACTGTCGGGTAAGCCTGAGCTTGCATTTTATGACTTTTGATGTGTATCTCACCCGTGCCGTCATTACAGTATCCGCAACACACAACGGAGTGGGCAATTCCGTACGAAAACGCTGAAGCCTGTCTTCGAGATTTGAGGTTTTGGTTGGCAGCAGAACACGAAGACCCACATGGACTAAGACCTCATTTCCCAATTGAGATTCGGTTTTCTGCACCAGACGAGATATTTCTCAGTCCCAGCAACGGTCATCGTACATGCTGGTTAGGAATAGTCCAATACAAGTGCGCACGTCTCCTTTTCCTTCACTTCCTTGAATATACTAAGTTGGGCTCTAGGCCATACGGCTTCAATGTTCCATATCGAAAGTTGTTCGATGGATACGAACGCATCGTATCTCGTCACGGTGGCCGTCCTCATTGGGCGAAAGCCCATCGACTGTCGCCGAACACCCTTCGACAACTATACCCCGCCTTCGATGATTTCACTCGGGTGCTTGAAAATGTTGACCCATTTGGTATGTTCCGAAACGAATATGTTCAACGACACATAATGGGAAGGCCAATCGACGTACGAATCTTCAAGAAGCGCCAATTGTAGGGAGCTAACGAAACTGCACAACATGACCTCTTATGACCGTAATCATTAACTTATTTGTGCTGCAGCTATACACGGATTCTTTATACGATACACTTCAGTATATCTTCTACCGCCTACAGCTACAAACCTAATTGTTCCCTTATAGATGCTCGTACTATTCTTTCGTACTCCTGTCGGTTGTCGCGGTACAGTTTACAGCAATCGATATTGGCGCCGCTTTCGAGGTTTGGTTCTAATACCGGGTGTAATTGAATTGCAAGGTTAAGCAATGAGGAATGACTCGCCCGCCAACATTGAGATAACGCTCAATATCACTTTCTCGACGCTCTGCACAGGGCTCCAGCGCTCAGAGGCTTGCTCGTACATAGTCGGATCGTCGCCAGGGGTGTGCAAGATTGATATGCACACGTTCCCATCGGCGTAAACTAGAACGCAATGAGCAATGTTACTTTTTTGGAGAGGCAAACATTTCGTGCTATTAGGGTGGAACAAAGGAGGATCGAACTTCATTTTGAAAGGGGATAAGGGATAGTCGGATGGCTATGAATATCGTCATCATGAACGGCCATCAGGGGGATGGAGACCCGAGACAACATACAAAGGTCAGTTTGGCCGCAAAAACGCCGCCTTCCTGGGGGCATCGTTATCTTGAGTTGGGGATTTATCATCACAGAATGGACGGCGTACGAAAGGGGTGTCTTTTGGCCCACAGATGAGGGCTTCCCAGCAGAAGAAGTCGGATTCAGAAATAGGACCTTTCTCCAGTCGCGTGAACGACGGGTCATCGTTAAGCTGCCGATAATCTGCGTACCAGCGGTGAACATGCCATCTGGCGAGCCTGTATGTAGCGACACACGACTGTCAGAAACCCCGAGTTCACAGGCACTTCAGCCCACCTCCGGAGGTCAGTTGCTTGTATTCTGTCATCAATCGTCGCAGAGCAGTAGCACTATTCGAGCTCCTAGACGCCATTTCTTCTGAGGGATAGCAAAGATGAGATAGCAAAGATGATGTAGTTTGGAAGCAATATGTGTCTTCTTACAAACACAACAAAACTCCGCATAAATCGCAATAAGTAAATTACATCGGTTCTTGTCGATTCTACAGGTCCTGCATTGGTATTGGTACAGATGGCATAAAATTATATCAGCTATGAATGGGGATATAAGAAACCGAGAAGATGACCGCGGCAACTTAGGCATCGTCAAGAATTAGTCGAGGCACAACATTCATCGCCATCAACTAGGGAAATAAATGAGCGCGTGAATCACAAATAGAAAGCATTCACACCTCTTGGAATAGGAGCTTGGCCGCGTATGGGATGGTTAATTGGGCCATTTTCTTGGAGCTCTTGCAGTAGGTACACCATCCGTTGTATCCCATCAGCCCACATTCTTCACAGGCGTTGACCTCGAATTTGTCAGAAGAGATCATTAGCCGCTCAAGCAACAGCTGCGTTGCCCCATAGCCGATTAGGCAGTCTCGCTCCATCTCACCCAAGCGCAAGCCACCTTCTCGGGACCGACCTTCTGTAGGCTGGCGCGTCAAGGTGGCACGCGGTCCTCTATTGGTAAGAAGGAAGGTATAGCAGGTCACAAAAAAATCTAAGCCAAACTAACCTTGCTCGAGCATGCATTTTATCCATCACCATGTGTTCTGTAATGATCCTCTTTAGTATCCGAGCAACGAAACCATGGGGAAAACAATAACGCACTAAGTTTCTGGTGGTAATAAAAAAAACCTCAATCCAAATTGAAAGAGAACTTATCTAAATCTCCCACATACCTGGTAATAAATAGGCCCGAAGTAAACGTAAGCTTCAAGGGGTTCCCCGGTAATGCCACTTGTCAGCATGTCCTTCCCAGCATAGCTAAATCCGTGATCAATAAGTATGCGACTCATATCTTCAACCTGATGGTTTCCCGTTTAGATACAGTGGGGTTGGGGGAAAGCCATCATGGTTAACACACTTTGGATCCGCCGAAGGCCGTTCCATATTGTAGCTTCCCAGCGAGAACACCGGCCTACGCGAAGTTTAAGTATTAGGGTTACAGGTTAAGATCCAAAGGAGAGAATGTGCACCTTGCCCGCTAATAGTTCTATCATCTTTCCGACTGTCATTCGGGAGGGGAAACCGTGAGGGTTCATGATGGTGTCTTCACCGTCAACGCAAAATTAATTGAGACATAAACTATCAGATGGCAACAGCATACCGGGGTTGATACCATCGTCATTGAACGGCATGTCTTCTTGGTTTACAATAAGACCACAAACACCCTTTTGCCCGTGGCGCGACGAAAATTTGTCACCGAGCTCTGGCCTCCGTGTTTGGCGGATTAGCACCTTAATGAGCGTCTGATCGTTCTCCGTGTCGCTAATCATGACTTTGTCGATGTTCCCAGCAACAGGCGACTTGTAGGTCAGAGGGGTATTTTTATACGGCACGGACGCAGCTTGGCCGGTGAACGTGTTGTCCGTGGCGTTGGTGGGGGATTGTTTGTTCACATATACATCTCCAGGATCAACCCGTTCTCCTACACCTGCAAGACCGTCCGATTGAATGATGTCGTATTTTTTGTTGAGTTGGCCATTCTCATCCAGCGGTGCGTCAGCCAACCGATCAAATCTGACAAGAAGTTTACGTAAGTGACCGTAAAAGCACCGTCCGACTTACGTTCCATTGGGGTACTTCCGGATGAGGGTCGCGTTCTTGCGCAAAACTTGACATCGGCCATAACCACGATCAAGACTGGCCTGTGATGACGTTAATACATGGGGAAAAAGACGGCGCTGTTTTTGACGTCCTACTGACCTTGTTTAGAATAAGAGCATCTTCGATATCATAGCCAGAGTAACTCATGACCGCGACCGTCGCATTTTGGCCGGCAGGAAGGCGATCATACCCTATCAGTTCAATGGTTTTTGTTTTGACCATTGGCTGTTGAGGGTACACAGACAAATACAGCAAGGTGTCAATCCGGTTCATTTGATTGTACCCGATGGCACCAATAGCTTGTTTACCCATGGCACACTGGTATGTATTTCGAGGCGATTGGTTGTGGTGAGGATATGGGATGAGCCCTGCGACAGCGCCGAGTATCGTGAAAGGTTCAATTTCCAAGTGTGTGGTGGCAGGCACAATATCAGATTCGTATAACGCAATGTAGGTGTCGTTTTCTTCATTGACGTCGAGGTATTCGACGAGACCTTTTCGAAGGAAGTCGTCGAACGTGACATTGCCTTTCTTGAGATGCTATTAATCTAGCGAATGAAACATTACGTCTAAAACTTTGAAGACGAATCCATACCATCATGTGTTCAGATGCGACCTTCGGGCGTCCATTCTCAACGATGATCGCAGGCCGGCAGATGCGGCCACCATCGCTGGCAATATGAACGGCGTGATGATGATGATTGATGTAGACGCTCACAAACTCGCTAAAGCGCCGGGCTCTGCGAAGACTTCGAAACTGTGCCACAAATCGCGCCGGATACCGGGTGACGCCAATAATAGTTCCATTCACATTCACCACGAAGACACCAGGACCATATATCTCCGTTCCCGTCGTCAAATTGATGTCTCAAAGGGGAGACCTAAGCTCAACAACAATGACGATAACAACAACACTCACCTTCGATACCCAACATGAACGCAAGCCGGGTTATAGGTTCTTCTTCGACATCCGTCGTTATGTGAGTCATAAGGGCTAAATTCTTGACGAGGCCACACGCCTCGCCTTCTGGGGTATCGCTGGGGCAGAGAACACCCCATTGACTCGGTTGCAAAGCTCTCGGGCCGCTTACCTTGCGTGTCTTCTCAAACTGGGACGAAATGCGTGTCATCATGCCTAAAGCCGAGATGAAGCTTAGCCGACTAAGTACGTGGGTGACGCCTGCACGCTCCATCTTAAAACGCTTGAGGGACCAGTTTCCTGTGGATATAGCGCGCACGAAGCCGGACGTTAAATGGTCTCCTTGCATTTGCATAGTGTTGTACGCATCAAACTCGCTCGTCCGGGAAGGTTTTTTGAGGACTTTGTCAATTGCAATTTTAAGATTGGAGTTATAGGTTTTGAAAAGGTCTTCGAAGAGGAGAGCAAGAAGCTGGCCTGCACTGAAAAAGTAGATTAGATGGTCATAATCAGAGGCAGAAGGAAAAACTTACAGTTCAAGACGCTTGTTTCCGACATAATCGCGATCGTCAACCATGTTTTCGTCTTGCATGGCCATGAGAACACGCCGGGTCATTGTAGCTACGAAAATGGCCTTCGACCTGAAATCGAGACCGTTGACTGGGACATGGGCAAGAACAATTGTAGCCAACGCTTCCAAAGCCTCTTCCCAAGCGGGTCTCCTAGGACCCATAACCCGTCGATTGATCTTGACGCGAGAGCCAATGTACTCAAGAGCCTGTTGTCGTGTGTATACACCGAGCTTGGCCGCGTCCTCGAGGTTGGCAGAAAAGGTATTCTTGTACGCTTCCGTGGTTCCAGCTGTAAGTAACAGTATCTCCTTGTCTGATTGAATTCCTAGAGCTTTCAGAGCAATGACGATCGGAACGTCCTCATGTATAGAGTTGTGTCGAAGATAAATACGGCCTTTTTTCGTTGCGACGTACGTCTTGGATTTGAGGCCACCATGAGTGGAACTTGTGTGTCAAGCAATGATTAATAACAAGGGTAAGTTTCAAAATAGATGTACTTACGAAGTACAGGAGGCCTGAACAACCCCCTTTACGGTGTCGGTCTCCACGATTATACGATTCTTGCTGAGCTGCTCTTGGACCAAGATGACTTTTTCCGTGCCTTTGACGACGAAATAGCCCCCAGGATCCAAAGGACACTCAGTCATGCGCGCCAATTGTGCTTCCGTTCGACCTGTCAAAACGCACTTGCTACTCCTCAGCATGATGGGCAGGCGGCCAATGTTAACATTCCGTTGCACAATGCTTTTCCCCCGCGTGTATTGGATGGTGACCACAATCGGTGCGCCGTATGTAATATCACGCAGCCGGCATTCGTGGGGTGTGACTCTCTTGTCGATGGCTTCAAGCTCATTGCGATCGGGGAATCCGACATTGATGTCAGTGTATTTTAACCAAAACCGTGGATCGACATCGGAAGTCACTTTGTTATTTGCGCGGACGATGTTTTTGATATCGATATCGACGAAGTAATTGAACGAATCGATGTGTTGCTTCACTAGACCCTTGACTTTGAGAAAGGCAGGCAATAATAGCCACTTGTCCTGGAGGTGAGTTAAAGACGTTGTCACGCAACTTCGTTTTCCTTTACACACCTCTACGCTCTTTATGGGATCGGTGAGACCAAGGCCGCGCCAATTAGTTCTGTTGAGCTGCTCCCATTCGCTCTCCTCGTCCACGAGGGCTGACATCCTCGTTGTTGCGTGAAGAGTTATTGAGGCGCGAATTTTGTGTAGATCACGTGCACGTATCTATATACTTAAAGGTCGAAACTGTTTCGCTTGTTCTTCAACATCACAGAAGATCCATACACAGTCTAGTCTATTCGACATGTCCAGATCACCACAACCTTCCAATACTCTCCTCCTTCGCCGCCAATTAGCAGAGCTCACAAAGCACCCAGTTGAAGGTTTCTCAGCAGGTGAGCGTAACTCCTTCTGATTTATCCCAAGATCTCTTATTGATCTTGCCCAAGGACTCGTCAACGATGATAACTTGTATGAATGGGAAATTCTGATCATCGGGTACGTTGACCAGATTCCTTCGAATCAAGCCGCTCATTCTTGCCGCCACTTTCGCCGCTTGCAGACCTCCTGATACCTTGTAGTACGTCCTACTCGATACAGCAATTCTCATGTGAGTTGATGAGTTGACCAGCCCTTTTCAGTGAAGGAGGCTTCTTTAAGGCGCGACTGTCCTTCCCTCCTGAGTTCCCACTACTACCGCCCAAGATGCGCTTTACGACGCAAATGTACCATCCAAACAGTAGGGCACCTGGCTTCTGCAAATGCGACATAGTACTAATGATTCTATAGTTTACCCCGATGGAACAGTCTGTGTGTCAATATTAGTGCGTTTTGTTGTCTCTGCATTGAGGTGGCAGTGCACTCACATTCTATCTGATCAGCATGCCCCTGGCGATGACCAGTACGGATATGAAGACGCAGGGGAGAGGTGGATGCCAGTACACACTGTCGAGTCGATCGCAAGTATATCCATGGCCAAAATATTGGTAGACTGAATTTCGGGTTTTTGCAGTTGATCAGCGTAATTTCTCTTCTATCGTCTGACACACCAAATCTGGACAGTCCCGCCAATGTGGATGCCGCCAAGGAAGTTCGCACAGACCTGGAGGGTGAGCAAGGTTCAGGCTGTCTGCAATTTATTCTCTGAAATGTTGCTATGGCAGGATACAGGAAGAAAGTTCGGCGACTAGTCCGCAGAAGTGCTGAGGAGGCATTCGATTAATGAACCTTCGCTCGGTCTTGCTTTCTGTACGCTGCATTTCCCCTTCCCTTATGCATCATGATGTTGCCTGCATACACATTATTCTGTTTCTAGTTGTGTTTTATTATAACGATCTCATTACTTTCCATTCTATCACTCGATATCGAGTTTTGGTTATCAAGGTCCGCGATGACTCTTTACGAAACAAGATGTTGATCTTATCGCTAATTATTAGCCCCTTACTTAATAGGCCTGAGAAAACATCACGTGACTAACTCAAGTCAAATTAAAATTAGGTGGCTGTTTGAGCCGTCTTGTGATTTCTCCGAATAATGCAACTATTTCTACGCGAATCAAACAACAATTAGTTGGAGAGTCCTAGTCACCAACCAAGAGTGGAGCAAGTCTCGAAGCATTCAGTGAAACCCAAGCCCAAATGCCACCACCAACTCTAGAGAAGGTTTCGGCGTATTCGAAACGTTCGTTGCGTCTCTTATTATCTACCATCTTACCGATATCGTCAAATGTAGGCGAGTCTGCCTCGATCCCGGCACCCATAGTGGTCGATTCTGATTCGGACTTTGCTCCTGGTGCCTTCGTCGCCGTTGAGTCGAAGCCAAAGAAGAAACGGAAACGTGATGTCGCGGAACCGTCTCGAGTCAGTAGTGGTCCAACCAAACGTGGAGCTCCTACGAAGAAGGGTGATTCGTCTCTTCAAGCGTCAACCGCGAGTTAACCTGCCGTTAGAGCGACGTCTAGTGGTCAACATACATGAACCTAACCCACTTCTTGAGTATTTCGGTGGGCCCGATAACCTAAACTTAGCATACCCCAGTCACTTATATCTTTAAATGCAGCCAACGAGGATTTAGATTTACATTCGGCCTCCGAAGAGGACGATGAAGGCGGGGATGCCACAGGGGATAAAGATGACCTTGAAGGGAAGGATGCAGATGCCCCAATGAATTCCAAAACTTCGGCTGGATTTTTTTCTAGTTCGACAGCAGACACGAAAGATCGCTTTTCTTCGCCCGGCCCTTCTTCAACCACGCCAAAGCAAGTTCAGGAAGACGATTCAGCGACAGGTAGGTTTTAAACTCTGCCCTCTTCAGTTTGATTTTGGACAACAGACTGTCATTATATAATAGAGTCCGAATCTGAAGTTGAGGAACCACCTGTCTCTGATCTCAAGCGCAAATCTTCAGCGTCAGACGGAGAGGAAAGTGGGCGTCATAAGCGGCCAAAGACCGACGTGCCTAGTTGGGTGACCTGATGCAATCTTTTCCTGTTCATCTGACTTTTGTGCAGTCAGCGATTCAGCAACGGAGCCGGACTCCGAATATGAAGAGATTCCTCCTAGTCTCCCTGACACATCTCGTACGCCTCTTTTCCCGCGATGTCTGGTTATTCTGATAGCCTACTTTTGGTAGGTTCAAAAGGGCTCGCAAACACTGACCTACGCCCCGTTGACTCGGATTCTGCCACCGAACCCGATTCAGATAGTGAAGGGCTCTTAGATCCTGTGTGATACCATCGTTTGCTTAGCCCGTTATCTTCCCTAACGAGTCACGTCAGCGGTTGAAACCTCGGCCAGGTTTTCCCCTTGCTCCCAAGCAGAATATACTTGGTCCCTTGATACTCGATCGTGAAGAAAGCGTTAAAGTCCCTGCGGCTATTAACACATACTTGAGAGAGTACCAACGTGATGGAGTGAAGTTCTTTTGGAGGCAGTATAAAGAAGGCCGCGGGGGGTTGCTGGGCGATGACATGGGTCTCGTAAGTCTCGAGTACTTCCACCTCTTCGGCTTCATTCACCCACGATTCACGCTGTGGCAAACAGGGTCAGCGGTGATCTTGTCATCGGTTTGTTTATGAGCTGATCGTTCTTTGCAGGCAAGACGATTCAGGTCATATCCTTTCTCTCTGCCATCATGCGTAAGGAAGGCGTGCGTACCGATAAGCATCGCCGTCGGAAGTTTGTATCAAAGTTGCAGGACGGGGAAGCCTGGAAAAAGCGGCGGCAATTGCCCCCAGCAAATGCAAAGTGGCCAACGTGCTTGATTATTGCCCCAAGTACTGTGGTCCATAACTGGGAAAGAGAGTTTGAAACCGTACGTAGTCAGCCATTTTTTTTGGTTCTTTTTGTTGATCATCAGGCATAGTGGGGGTATTTCGAAGTTGGGATGTATAACGGGAATACGAAAGAGCGAGAACCTGTTTTACACGACTTCAAGCTGGGACGATTGGACGTTGGTAAGCCGTCGAACGATCTAATCCACTTCAATCACAAATCTTATGTGTTCCAGTGCTAACTACATTCGACTTGGCGCGGAGGGATATCGCCCTTCTTGAAGATCTTCCATTCAGCTGTGTAATCGTCGATGAAGTTCACCGTGTGAAGAACGAAGCTGCCAAAATCACCGTGGCGTTTCATCAGTTCAACTGCCCTAGACGATTTGGTTTGACAGGGACCACGATCCAGAATTCGTACAAAGAGATGTGGACTATTTTGGATTGGACGAATCCTGGAAGATTGGGGACGTCGAGGCAATGGCAGGGATTCGTCGTAAAGCCGTTGACTGCGGGGCAGTCGGCTGGCGCTGCTGAGGAGGAACGGGCGAAAGCATTGGTCAGCATTCTATTTTTTTCACCTACGTGTGAGGTGAGATTGATCGAAAGAGCTTTTTGGTAGGTCGTTGCACTGGTGCTCAGGGACAAGTTGCTTCCTAGATTTTTTTTACGAAGGTATCTACGTGCGCGTGACGAATGCCTCCGTCGAGCTAACGTCTTCAAAGGACGAAAGACATCATCAAGCACCAAGTTCGTTTTGCGTCGGATCCCGTTGATAACCCTGTTATTCAAGCTGTTCTATCAGCTTCCAGAAAAGACCGATCAAGTCGTCTTCTGTCCTTTGACTTCCCGACAGGTTGCAGCGTATAAGCATATTTTGAATATGGCGCCCGTGAGAAATTTGACTCACAAGGACGAGCCTTGCACATGTGGATCTCGAAAGGCGTGAGTGTGGATGGACAACAATGGCTCTCCGAACTAACACACGGTCCCTGGACAGACGCAAAGCTTGCTGCCACCCATTTGTAGCTGGCGATGTATTCAAGTTTATGTCGATTCTTATCAAACTGTCGAATCATTTGGGGCTCATTCTTCCTGGTATGCTCTATGACCTAGTCTGTGGATTGGGGCCGTAGCTCATGTGATGTAAACAGGACCCAAGGATACCCCGGAGCAGGCTAGTCCTCGCACTTAGGTTTGACGGTGTGATAATAACGAACCACAGACCGCAAGAAATAGAGCTTTAGCTGAAATAGCTTTTCCTGAAGGAGACATACCAAAATATGGGACAGCCATGATGCAAACTCAATATTGCGGCAAGTGGGCAGTAAGTACTGATCTTTGTATTCGACCTTTTCTGATCTTTGCCTTCTAAAGGTATTGGAAATTCTCTTGAAGGAATGGAGGAAGGAAACCAACAAAGTGCTAATATTTACTAAATCCGTCAAATTGCTGGAAATGCTGGAGTTCCATCTCAATAACAAAGGTTTTCGCCATTCATGTCCAATCTAAACAGTGAGAAAAAGATTTTGACTGTGTTCAACAGGTTATGGATTTCTGAAGCTCGACGGAAGTACCAAGCAATCCGATAGAATGCCTATGATCGATCGCTTCCATAATGATCCCGAGGTTTTCATTTTCTTGATTTCGACGTTGGCGGGGGGGACGGGATTGAACCTGACAGGTACCGACAGGATTGACGGAATTTGAGGATTTTGTTCTGACGACCACTCCATGTCCACAGGAGCAAATAAAGTTGTTATCTTTGGTGAAATTCTCAGTTCCTCGTGACTAGAAACGCGCTGAACTGGTTGGATATCTAGACCCCAATTGGAGTGAGGATAATCATGTTTATGTCACTTTGCGCATCTCAATCTCCCTCACAGATCCTGCGCATGATCTTCAGGCGATGGACAGGTGGGTCTTAACTTTGAACTTTACTTGTTTGCTGACGGCCTTTCACCGCAAGAGCTTTCCGCTTCGGTCAAACACGCGACGTTTCGGTGTACCGACTGCTGGGGGCTGGGTCCGTAGAAGAGTTGATCTATGCCAGGCAGATCTACAAGCAGCAGCAGATGGCCATTGGCTACGAAGCCAGTGTTCAAACCAGGTATGTCGTAATATTCACATTTGTCATGGAGCCTACTTGCTCAAGATTGCGAAGGTACTTTGAGGGTATACAAGGCGATACAGCAAAGAGAGGCGAGCTTTTCGGCATCGAGAACATCTTCAAGTTGCACGAAGATAAACTTGCCACGAAGATGGCGGTATGATTTCACATCGAGCTGCATTTTTTTATGAATCTGACAGCGCCTTAGATTGAGAAGGCCAATTTGGCCGAGCTGGACTGGGCCCTTGCCAATATGGGCGGCAGTAAACGCGGAAAGGCCAAGGCTGCTAGCGATATTATCGAGGCTGACGCAAAAGTGGGAAAGGAAGACGTATACATATGCTCCCATCCAACAAGGACTTTGCTGATCAACTTCGAACAACAGGGTAATCTCCGAGGACTGGGGGCTTTGTTGTTTGATGATGGTCGGAATGGCCCTTATATTGTAGTCGTTCATCACTTACTATGCATAACAGCCCCCCCACCAGCCGAGCCGCGGGAGCAAGATGTCATACAAAAGACGCTCAACGCAATCGGTGTGACGTACAGCCACTTAAATGACGAAATTCTAGTTCCCAGTCGCATCGAGGAAGAGCGGACAAAGCAAACCTTGGTGTGTCTCCTTCAAAACTTGTACCGGCACTATTCGTGCTGACTTTCCGCCCGAAGAAACGTCGGAAAAAGAAATCCAAGCCCGAGGAGTCTGCATCCAAACCTCAGTGGCCTCCAAGGAGAAAGCATCACAAGCCGCCACCGACGCCTGAGGAGCAGTATGTTCTTCATAGCTTCGCGTTTATACTACTAACGACGAGATAATAGGCTAGCATCCCGACAGCAAGCCCTTATTCAACTTGGGATGATCAGTAAACCCAGTGATATCGCGACCTTCGCCAGAGATTTGTAAGTTGCCCTCCAGTCAGCAACGCCGACAGAATTCAGACCTGATTATACCATAGCGCACGGCAATCTGATGAGGCACAGCGAAACATTCTCGCTGACCTAGACAAGTGGGCAAAGGCACAGGCTGAGGGCGATTCAGACTGACTGTTGTATTCCTCATTTTACATCAAACAATGTAGCACTCTTGCTTGTAATTTTATATAACTCTGGTATCAATGATCTTGTATGAAGAGTTTCACGAGGATGGTCGTCGCAGGATACCTACCGTATTGGCTCCATCCTTTGTTGAATCGTGACCACGACAACTTGAACCAACTCAACACTAGAACAAGAGTCCTAAACGAACAACGGTGCCTATGGCTTCACTCAAATTTCCTGTGTAGACACTCACCCCCGTTTTACAAGGAGCACATTTACCCAAAGTAAACATCTTACCCTCGAATACCTAAGGGCAACTGCGCCTAATTGCGCTCATCGCTCGCCAACCTCCTCTTGATCCGGCCATGTCCGAAGACATCACATTAATTCCAGCTTCTAAGTGTCCTTCACCAGGTATGATCGGGGCATCACTACACGCTTGACGCGGTCATGGGCTGAACGCGTAAAAACTTATCTTCAGTGAAGCTTAAAGCGAAAGATCTCCCAGATCAATGGCAGAGTGATAACGTTGAGAATCCGTTCAACGATCCAGACCCATTGGACTTTGATGCAGCGGGTGGTCTTGTGGGATTTGGCGGTCCTGGCTCAAAACCGATGGGTGGGTTCATCATTCCCATTTTTGTCACTTCGATCTGACAAACACCATCGTCAATGCCAGATATTTCGAGTTATACCCCCTCACAGCTGTACGACCTTAACCAGGTACGTCTCTTTAAATTGGTTCAATGAGGTGAAGACTAATGAGCCTTTGTCGGCTTCAACAGCAATTGCTTAGTGACAGCGTACCTCCTCGTCCGCTTATCGATGAAATCGTTCCGATGTCAAATCTTCGCGAGGAATATGAAAATGGATCAGCTGCCTTTGTAAACCAAATTGACTCGCTTACGGCGCGTGGATATGATAGTGTTCGCAGGACACGAGGCGATGGTGACTGTTTTTACAGATGTAAGTCGTGCGGTCGTAAAAAGAAAACTCAAACTCACAAAATCTTGATCTCACCATAACCAGCGCTTGCGTTTGCTTATGTCGAACGTATATTGCAGAGCCCAGAACCCGATTTTGCCGTTGCAAGTAGTGTATCTGCCCTCGCCGCTACCAGAGATTCTCTCGACAAAGCAGGAATTGACAAAATTGTCTACGAAGATATCTATGACGAATTTGTAGGCCTCATCAGCACCATCGTTCAGCCAAACTCCGCAGGGAAAAAGTTGGATTCCGCTGGGCTCTTGCTTGCGTTCCAGTCGCCCGAAAGTGTGTCTCATTCAACATCTCTATATCTGGAATCTCACATATGTTCCAAGTGTCAAACGCCGTTGTGGTGTATATGAGGTTCTTAACTGTGAGAACGGATCTTTGGCAATTGATCTCATTTTGACTGCCACAGTCAGCTGAAATTCGAGTTCATCGAGAAAATTATGAAGCGTTTTTGATACATCCTGAAACCCACGAGCCGATGGGCGTGGATGCCTTTTGCGCTAATATCGTCGAGCCTCTCGGAAAAGAAGCTGGCAAGGTGCACCCATGTTATCTGTTCAATTATTTTCTGATGGACTCGGGTTAGACCACGTTGAGATCCAGGCACTGTGTGCTGCCCTCCAACTAAATGTGGATGTAGCATATCTAAATGGTGGCTCTGAAGAGGGAGTTGTTGACTTTATTCCTTTCCGGTATGCCTCCGGAAGCGAGAGCCTTCCCCTCGTCCTACTCTATCGGTAAAATTCTACATGTGGGGTATATTCCGTCAACTAACATTTTAATTTGCAGGCCAGGCCATTACGACCTCCTTATCAAGGGGAAACAGGGTGAACAGGAATTGAGACACTGATAAATTGCCTTGTGGCGATATGTACTTTTTACTTTTTTGAATGTGTTGAGGCTATGTTTCGGTGTTTGGTTAGGCCAAATTATTTATACCTAACACGGCTCCTGTAACATGCGATCGACTGGCACAATCTTCCTTTCGGTAATACTTAAATCTTAAAGCTTTGCTTCGGACCCGTCAACGGCGCATGGATGTAAATTCTCAATTGGAGGAACTTTACAATGGTGCAAAGCATATTCTGCTGATTGGTCGAGCTTATCAAACACGAAGTATTGGATTGGTCAAGGTTTGCAGAGCGTTGGCGCCGAAAGCGAAAGCGGGGGATGAGGAATTCGAAGCGCAGCGTAAACATTTTTCAAGGTAATGAAAAATGATTAATTGTAGAAATTTCGTTGACTTTGATCAGGACGATAGAGATGTGTAATAAAGCGCTAAAAAGCGCGTATAAATCCGAAGTTGGACACGAGCGCCGTCCACAAGCTGAAGACGCATTCAGAAAGGCTGCTAGTGAGGCCGAAGCCTATTTTAAGAAATATGGTTTTGCCAGGTCAGAACTCCCCCCATTTTTTATAAAGACAACCTACAGAAATCGAAAATAGTTCTGATCCGACTCTCAAAAGTGGGGATATAAGAGGCTGGTTGAATGAGTTATCGGAGAAGGACACCTTTTGGGCAAACATGCTCGTGGTCAATACAAACGACAGGATAGAGAAGGTGATTTCCAAAGTATTTCTTCGTTCAATGGCTAAACTTGACAAACGATGTCCATAGTTGGCATCGGATAGACGAGCCTTTCACCGCAACGTAGGTCACCAAATGCAGTATTCCATTATTTTCAAGTTTAATAAATCCGCTTTTTTTCAGAAGAGGCTTCGGAAAGGCGACTCGACTTCGGAGGAGGACAGTGAGATTGAGTGATAGTAAACACAGGCCAAACAAGATCTCTAGAGTCTATTTGAAAACATGACCATACACAAGTCTCATGCCGAATTTACTTTCGAAAGACCAGGTCGGAATGCAGCTCGAGCCGTTTCCATGGCTTTGATCCTCTCACTCAACTTCTCGAACTCCCGTTGGCGAACTTCGTCTCTGTCCTTTAGCGCCTCGACCTCTCGCTGATGTGCCTCGTCTCTGTGCTCAAAAAGGACCTGAAGCGCTTCAAGTTCTCGCCGTAAAGATTCCAAAATCTCGCCCCCCGGGGTTTCCAATCGATCCTCGACTCCGATTATATGAGCGGCTGGGGGTATGGTCAAATGGAGCGTTTTGGGGTGTCCAGCAGGAATCATTGATTCGTTTTCCGGAGTTTCTAATCGATCCTGGACGGGTATGGTGAAATGGAACCTTTTGTGGTGTCCAGCAGGAATCGTTGCTTTTTCGTATGTTTCGTTCATTGGGGGATGATTAGAAGGATTCACTCTCCCCGCCACTTGTGGAAGCGAGGACCACTGGGTCTCATGAGCATTCTCTTTTGGACGTGGAGCTCGTGGATTTATATCGCCAATAAACGCTGGTGCAATGGGAAGGGGTGATATCTCTGAAGGATTGTCAATGGTGTTCGTTGCCTCCACCAGCCGCGTCGAAAGCTGCGGGCTTTCACCAGCGTTGTTAATGCATTGTCGAGGAGAGGACCATACAGATGTCAATATAACACCTTGAATCACGGCCGAATCTTGTTGCTGCGTCGTGGTTGGTGGCGACAAGAGGCAAGGTGTGGTCTCTGGTAGGCATGGTTTGACAGCTACAGCAGACGGGACATTGTTGGTGATGTCCTTCCCTTCACAATCTGGCAGTTGCTCTGTGGTTTTCCCGGCAGTTTCTATGTCGGAAACGTGGTGGGGCAGAGTTAAAGGTTCTGGCGCAACAGGCGAAATGGTTTCTATGTCTTCATTTCCGGACAACGTATGTGCTTCCTGCTGTAGTCGCATCATTCTGTCTCGCAACTCTCTCACCTCCATGTCCAGGTTTTTGGTTCCAATTTCGTCGTGCTCCTTCTCGAGTTCATCTATCTCCTCTAGCAGCACGCACATTTCTTCCTCGTGACGTTTGGCTTGTTCGAGTATCTCTCGGTGCAATTCCAAGCCCGCTGCAGTCTCAGAGACCGTTTTCATCTCGTCGGCAATTTCCTTCTGAATGAGCAACGTCAGAGGAGTTTTGCCTGCAAGATGACCCAAAATGTTCCGAGCTGATTCGAAGCTGTTCTCATACCGCATAAGTGGACTCCCCATGTCGATAATTGGCTTAAAGAATGCCTCTTTGGTTTTCAGTTCGCTCTCGCGAGCTTCGGCGACCGCTGGATTGACCTCGCTCCATCTGGTTGTAGCGAGGACGACGTTGGCCAAGAACGCTGGGCCACACAGTTTCTGGAACATGAGGAAATTGCGCCGGGAGCTGGCACCCATCCGAACGTCTGAAATACGGTGGAAGTAGATGATGCCGCTCAATTTCCTTTTCTTATTGTATCTGCGGAACAATCACACCAGGTCGCGTGGACGTATGCGGAGAACGTACTCGTTTACAAGGAAGGTCGCAATCGTGTTTAGGATATCCGCATCGCTCTTGGAAGAATCGTCGAATCCAGGGGTGTCAATCAGGCGGATGTGTCGTCCGTTGGGCTCGAGTTGAAACGGTTCGGACATCTCGACCCTCTCTGTGCACGATTCGAGTCCTTCCCCGATTTTGAGTGATGAGTTGCTTGCGAGGTTGATGAACTTGAAGAAGAAGAATAATCAGCGTCTCATCTGCTACCAAAATTTCGGTGCTCACTGAGGATTTTCCTGCCCCACTCCTCCCCATCACCCTTTTTGTGGCAACAACGTGAATAATATACCAACCATAGTCTTTGGAGAACGTACGCAATGAAAATTTCGTCTCCGAATTTTTGGTCCTTCGACGTCTCAGTTTCTTTGGTGACAACGTTAACATTCTGAGGTCCCCTGCCATACATATATTCTGTATTCGTGAGTCCAAGATTTAATTTTTTGGTTGTTTATCGATGCTCACCATCGGTGCAGGGCTCAAGAGGGGCTGGTCCTCGATTTATTGACATGGCTGAATTGGAGGAGGGTGTATGAGGATCGTGTAGGACATCGCGACGTAAAATACCTTTGCGAGAGGTCTAGGCTTGAACGACACTGGTAGATGCCTATACTGCTGGTTGCAGGTAGATTCTCTGAAATAGGAAGGTTGCGAGCTGACATCCAGCAGCATTGTTGTCGCATGGTGATCTCAGGTCTATCTCCGCGCAGCTTGCACCTTCCATCCTGGTTAGAATCAATCATTGCGTTGAAAACCTGTGAAGGAAAGCCAGGTACGGAAACCGAAATTTGGCTCTACTGTACCCTTCGTGCACGCGTTCGTCTCTTTTTTTGTTTTGTTTGCTAAATCTGGATCGCAAGACTCATGTTTGCCATGAGTTCAGAATCCTGTGCGATTAGATTTGCGTGTTCGCATGCCATAGCATGCCATCCTTTGAATGATGAGCGTGACTCTTAAAAGCCCAAACGCTCAGAATAGACTCCTTCACTCCAACACCTTTTCACTTCATGCCTACGCTGCGCAGAGAAGCGTTACTCGACTGTAAGCCTTCCCTAATTTCATACAATTAGTAACTTACAGTTCATTCGTGAGAAGACCAGTTACCATCTACTGTGCAATCTCTACAAGGAGGATGGCAACTCACATGCCAGAGCGGAACTATGGTTGTGGGTGTCACTGTTGAATTTCTTATGGAAGGGCGATGAATCTTTTTTTACAGTCCACCCTATTCGTAATTGCTGCGACACAGCTATTGGCTTTCTTCAAAAATCCAAACCACTTCAGCACAACACAGAATAACTCGGAGGGCGCACTTCGCGCGCTCATAATCATTTGCTATGCCTCTCTATTCTTCAACGCTAGTGCAGCAATCAGTTCCTTCATCCTAATGGACAAGCTCGGGGAATTACCGTTCCGTGCTGCGTCAAAGCGTCAATCCATTTTACCGAGCGGCGGGACGATCACTGGCAATTCTGAAGATCTCTTGAAGCGATATGGTGTCGGCAAACTTTGGACTGTCCTAGTATGGCACTGTCAGTCCATCAATTCAACGCGGTTTCGCTGCTTGCTAACTGATTCTAATATAGGGTTTGTTTCCTACATGATTGGAACCATCTCCATCATCACTCAAGTATTGCTATATGTCTGGTTGCAAGAATCCAAGGAAGCGCAAATTGTGTTATCTTGCATTGCAGGATTCTCCTTTCTCCCACTAGCTGTGCTCTTTACTCCTTAGATTGGATCCCACCCCAGCCAAGCTTGCCAGAATATACAATAATGGTCGAACTTCCGCCTGCTACATCGCTCGTCATTCTGCAGAGCAATGATATCGTCAATCTTAGATCCAATGTTTCATTAAATCATGCGACACTCACTGCAGATTCTTCCGCCACTATGTCGCTTCTTCTCTTTCGTGACCGGTTGACCAGCGGAGCGCCATGACGCTGACAATTCTAAAACCGACACTCTCACATACGACTCGCTGCTTCTACCTATCTATGGTCTTCTTTAGACATAGTGTTATTTATGGCCGGCGCATATACACCCGCTTGCTAGCAGGCCGACCACTCCGATCCAACCACACGTTGTCGGGTAGCGTTGCCACGCGATATCCGCTTCACAGATGTTCTCAAATGGTCTGTCAGATGTATGTGGTAGATATATATGGCTTGTAATACTGCTAATAATGACTCAATTTGTCAGAAAGAGCTATTACGGCGAGTTACGTTGAGGGGAAGCGCGGTAGTAGATACTGTACCTGGAGTATCGGACGAACCCGGATTTGAACAGTGGATAGATGCATGATCTTTTTCTGAAATCTTATCGACATTGAAAGGAAACTCTCTCTTTCCAGCGCAGGGATGATGCAAGAAACCGTAGGGAATACTGTCGGCGCTCTTCAAATCGCGATTACTATCTCTGCTTTGCTCTTCGGGATTGTCACTATGCAATGTTATCAGTATTTGAAAAGTTATCCAGATGATGCGACTATCTTCAAGGTGCTGGTGAGAGATTCAATGTCATGATGTGACAGTGGTGGCTCATTTCATCGATTCTAACCTGGAGGTTGCTTTTGATTGGCAAGCTTTTTGTGTTACTCTTGTGATCATTACGCGCTAACGCAAAACTCAGGCTTATGGAACTTGCACAATCGGTCTGCGTCTCCTATCAGATGTACGTTGTGGCGGTTATGGGGCCCCAATCAACCCGTTTCGTCGGTTTCGGAGTTGCAGTGATTCTTGGGGGGCTGATTACGGCCGTTGTGCAGGTGCGTCTAACCTGGTTCAAGTCGATTCAGTGTATTATACTAGATTAATGTTAAATATATAGAGCTTCTTCTCCTTGCGCCTCTACAAGTTACTGACTCCGCCATCCAGCTACATTGGTATTTTTTGCATGGTGATTGCAAATCTCCGATGTGTCACAGCTTTCATATTCAGTCAGCGAGTCATCACGCAAGACGTTGGGGTGTGGAGAACACATTCCTTTGTCTTAATCATCCACAGTGCTGTTGTCGGCTGGTGCTGTGATTGACATTCATCATCGCCATTACCCTGGTATCATTCTTGTTGAGAAAACGGCGAAAGGCTTTTTCCAGGTGTGGCCGTAGTTGTTTCTATTCGCCTCGTCACAGTAATCAAAGAAATTACCGTACAGGGCTGCAGAAATCATCGAGCGACTCACGGCATTTACCATTCGTATGTGGCCTTCAAAGCTGGCTATCAAATACGACATTAAACCGTTTTCAAGGAACCGGCCTTCTTACCAAGTGAGGGATAAACATCACCTTCCTTCCAGCAAATTGAAAAAATGGCCAGTATTACGGCAACCTCTGTGCTCGTTCGTGTAAGTCTTCTATCCATATATTCGAGGTCTTCAAACTTCCTACTTGCTCAACAGTATCTCACCATGAGAGAGACCTGTGAGACTCCTTCTCGAAGTGGATTGGTTTCCCCTTGCTTATTTTGCAGACGTTTGGGCTGCCATATATACAATTCTTGAAAAATGTGCGTTCCATCGCAAGGATCTCGTAGAATGTGTTATCGACTTCATTCGGGAAGTGTACTCCAACTCTTTCCTCTCTGCGTATGATTTCTACAAACTGAATGAACGTCAGTCGTCATCAAAAGATAGCAGAAGCCACCGCACTTCACTCACACATCGAGTTGGTGTGGCCAGGCAACTCCATGTTATTCAAATATTTCCTCCGTCGCTGTTGTAACTCATCGTTTGCTTTGAAGTCCCGCCCGAATCACATTTCGATTGAAATGACTTCAGTCCACAAGGACATTCCACAAGACAGTTGCGAATGCGATGACATCAATTATCAGGTTGGCTTTCCTTTTGTTGAGATGATTTTGACCAGATTTATGTTCTCAAAACGCAGGATCCTGTTATTCAATTGACGCCTCCTGCATCATCCTCTGCAATTTAAACACAACCCTTGTACCACCTCCAACACCCAAGGCTCTGTGTACTTATACGGTCTTTAATATGCTCAAATCGTTGGTAGAAGACGGTACCTCATTGGATGTAACACCTGGCTTCGGTTGGGGCACACATTGAAACGAGAAAGGGTATAAACATATCTGTAGGTTCATGTCAGCGATACTGGAAACAAAGCTTTCTGAATCGAACTCGAGAAATCGACGCAGGGGTAACGAGACGTCCGTGAGGCTCATGCTGCACCCACGTCTTGTCCTGCCAGTCCACAAGTAACCCTTCTGCAAAAGGTCTACAGTAGAACATCGCTTTCTCGAGGTGCTGGATGGCCGGGTTCGAGGCGCCATCTGTAAGGAACGGTTCTTGTCGCCTCGAGTATCTGCAACGCACAGTATACTTCACCGGCGGTCAAAAGAAGACCAGATAAAACGATTGCCCTAGATACTACTTACTCCCCTTGCCGGTGACAGGTAAAATACTCTTGATGTGATCGTCATTGGTTTCATTGCAACGAATAATATTGCTGTTCGGACGTTTCAAGGATGTGTTCATTCAAAGCAATGTGCAAGGTACAGAACCCTTATATAAAGTAGAACTGCATCGAGAGATCAGCACGAGGGAAGAATGAAGGACGAAAAAGAAGACAGACATATACGTGATTCCTACATAGCTTTGGTAATTTATTCTTTCTTATAACTGCCAGCCAGCTCGTTAGCTTGTGCTTGGAGCTCTTCCTAAAAATAGGATGGGATTCAAAGCAAGAACAGAAGGGGACCACAATACGGACCAGCTCCTTTTTTCTCGCCTCAATCTATGGGGGTCAGAGATCAGCAAAGGTGGGGGTCAAACAGGGGATGAACATACTTGTTTCTTCATCTTTTGGAGGAGCTCCATTTCGTGGCGATGAATATACTCGTCTAACAAACGGTTCATTCATGTAATACGATGAGTGATATGTGAATACCTTCATGTGCCTTTTCTTTTTTGCTATGAAGACAGAAAGGTGTCAGGGCGTTCTGCTAAACACGCGTATGGATTGGGACTGACCTGAAGCCCTTGGACTGAGCAACAGTACCCTCAACGCGGCCGTCCGTGTAGCGGGCTACAAAGACGGTAGGAAGGCGACGAGCAACAGAGATACGGGCAGCGGCGAGCATCGTGGTGGTAAAGGTGAGCAAAGGTTGACTGTCGCTGCCGTGAATCCCGACAGTGTCACGTCACGAATTGTCACGTCACAACGTTTTCTTCCCTCAACTATGTCAAGCCTATTCAGACAGGCAACGGTCGTGGTATGTCCTCTGTAGCTCACTAGAAATCACTTATCAACCTTCAAACAGGCCCGCCAGGTCTCCAGAACCCGTTCTTTTGCATCTTCCGCCGTCTCTCGCAAGGGTATGTTGCCAGCCTGTGTTGAGGACCAACCTTGAATTCCGGATACACCCGCAGACCTCATTCAAGATCTCTATGTCCGCGAAATAAAAGCCTATAAGCCAGCACCTATTGTGAGCGCCAGTTACCGATTTCAAAATTATCAGATCCCTCATGGGATTTATTTTAGCCTAAAGACGCACATGTCGGTGTTGTGAAGCAGTACTCGCTACCACCAACACCCAAGGCTCCCGCTCCCCCTGCAGACCTTGCATCCGAGCTTTCTGCGTATGACGCCACGGAGCCCACTGTTGTGGTCGAGACGAAGGCGACTGAATCGTCGGAGGGCGCTGGAGAGGGTGGCGCTGACGCATACCTGGCCTTCCTCGAACGGGACCTTCCAAAGGTTGAACACCATCACTAGAGTACGCTTGTTCATGCTGTAGAATAAATGCAAGTGCATCCGCGTCGCCACCAACATGTTGACATAAAACCCTTAGAACGCGGTCACAACAACTTAATCCGCGAGTGGTGTGGATGTATGAGTGCTAAGATACATATTATTCATGCTATTGCATAATGCCTAGTGGGGATGGTGGAATAAGTATGTGCAATGATAGATAGTGAAAAGATGCGGGGGGAAAAGCGAAAACAGCGTTCTATGAGAAGAAGTATGGCGAGGACTTGATCTCTTGCACTCTAAAGGTGCCCTTCTCAGGTAAAGGAGGTAGCAGGTCCACGACGTCAACAAATTTGCCCAACAATTCTCTCGTCGCCTGGGCTTCCCTAGCCATATTTGCCGCGACAGCCTTCTTGCGTTTCCCCTCCCACTCGTCGTCAATAGAATCGTCTTCCTCGTCCAATTGCTCTAAAAATGCTTGATCCAGTGTGGGATCGCCTTCAGTGCCAATAGGTTGTTCGCCGATGGCGGAGCTACCTGTCTCCGACACCTCGACGATAGCAGCGATGGATTCCAAGGATTTGGCTTGTTCAGGTGTAGCAACAATTCGGACTCCAGATTCTGAAAGCATCTTGACCAAATTACCACCCTTGTTTTGAAGGTGGATGAGGGGCAGCTTGAAACCTTTGAATCTTTCTTTGAACTGTTGGGGCAAGTGAGATATTATATCAACGCAGAGTTAAACACATAAACGGACCTCTTCATGGAGTTTACCCAAAACATCCGAAGAATGAAGCAAAATGAAAGTATCGCGAATAACTTCAGCCATTGAGTCAATGGTAGAGGCATGCGTCCAGTAGGAATCGTGAACGGAAGCAAAAGTCAATCCTCGGCTCTAGAAACAAAGTCAGTGTCATGATTCGCTAGGTACTCTGAGCTGGATACGCACATGGCACTCGAGCGCAGTCAACATCATATGCGTAGCATCCAAACTATGAATAAAATTTGGCGGGAACGCTGAAGCTTGCTTCAACGAGTTGACTGTAAACAATCTGTCAGCGTCCTCCCAAAACCAAAATCGAAATCATAAACAAACCTTCAGCAGGGGATGATGGGTCAGAGATAAACACTGACTGAACAGCGGTCATAACTTGTTTCCTTGCGTGCTTCCTATATGGCTGAATTATTGGAAGTTGCAGGGGCGTCGTCCAAACTACAGATGTCATTTGCTCCTTCTTAAATCGGCTCATGGCCACCGCTGGCCGGCCTCTCTTTTTAGGAGCTGCAATGGCGTCGATAAATCGATCAGGCGCGATTGACTTGGAGATGAGACGAGCGCAGAGATTCAGCCAGTTCTGAATATGTTTGGCACCCGTGAATGTGTCTCCGATACAAGTAAGGACCTAACAGAGAGCCTTAAGATGAGAGGAACAAAAAAAGGAATACACAAAATCTTTGGCACCTTTTTGGCGAGGTAGGAAGCAGCAGTCCAGCAGAGCTCATCAGGAATGTCGTGTCTGTCTTTCAGCTGCTTTTCGATTTGTTCACGTGCGCCCACAAACGTTACACCGTACACAGTCGTCATGACCTATTAGTATCCCACACATGAGCATAAACGAGCACCAACGGGGGAGATAAAGGAGCTCACAGTTTGCTTGACCACCTTTCGTGTAATCTTGCCCTGAAGAAGTTTGGCCATTTCAAGACCATTCGCAGCATCGGCCTCAATCTGCTGATCAACGAGGCGCCCGACATAGGAATACACGTCTGATGGCCGATCACCAGCAGCGAGATTGACCTGTTTAGCACCGACGGCGTCGCCTCCGAGGGCTGCATAATGTTGCAAACCATTACATGTACCATCCTGATGCACAGGCAGAGTCGACATGTAGGCGAGGGGATCCTCAGACTGTAACGCCGCGTGGAGCTCCATACATGCTGCCAAGACTTGCCAGGGATCGTCACCTTTTGTCCACCAACGTTTTCCCTAAATATCAAATGTGAGCATTACCAGGACGTGTGCGTAAAGAAAGACGACAAACATCCAAGGGGTTGGTAGCACTATCAGCGATGTCATCCAGACGCTCCATGACCCAGTCAGCACGCTCCTGGAAACTGGCCTTGTCATAACCATACAAGTTGGCCAAATGAATTTTCAACCACCAAAGGCCCCTCTCACCGAGAGGTTTCGCGTCGGCGAACAACAGCAGGCCACGACATAGATCATCGCCAATGTGACTGAGATGAGGGGGGATAGGGTATGCACGCCCACGGAAGTCTAAATTGTGGGGCATGTACAATTCATCATGAAGGAACTGGAATTGCAAGGATCAGTGGTCTGTGTGCAAAGTATGTAGAAACGAGACTGACCGCGCGAGCAATCTCAATTTTATAATTGACGTTACATCGCTCCGAGTGGTTGTTGGCCTTGCCTTGAGTGTATGACTTTTGACGTTGGAGGTGGACGCTTCTAGCTTGAAGATCCTTCTCATAGTTTTCAGGAATTTCTGGAGCCGGCTGGTCGTATACAGCGGGGGGGATCTTGCCCATCCTCTCACCAGAGTTCCACACCTTCAAGACCACCTCATACACATTTTTGTTGATCCTCCAGGGAGTGGAACCCAAAACGTCCAGCCCGGCCAAGACAAGTTCCATTTTTCCATCATCGATGGCTTTTTGGAGATAGGTCTCCTGCTCTATAGATTCCTTAAACCGCATGACGGAAGCTAGACGGAAGTCATGAAAGGGCTCCAAAATTAAAGCAATGAAATTGCTTACTTTTATTGTATAAATAACCACCTTGCCTGATGTGCATCCATGGTTTGGGTGGGACGAGCATCGGTAGGTGACGGGGATGAATAGTCTCCCTTAATCTATCTGTCGAGAGGCGTTCTGCCACTGCTGGGTTCAGCTTAAGGATGCCGAGCTTTGTCCCGCGTACGTATTCGTAGGCATGATAGAAGGCTGGCTGATCTTCTGTCACACTGCAGAAGAAATGAACATTGCAACAAAAATATCTAATGAAAAACCACCGTACCTCTTTCCAGTAACTTGGTCGTCCCTTTGACGTCGAACATATGCGACGTCCATTAGACACTCCACCAAAATTCCACCAATCTTGGATCTGACTGCTTGGCTCCAGGGCGTGGTCCAGGCCTCGCCATCCTGCATGTGCCTTGCAGCTGCCATTCTCCGTTTTTGTAGATTACTATAACCGAGGACCGAGAAGAAATTGGTCGAGTGGCCCGTCATGGTGGGGATAGCAATATCATTGGTGCGACACATCTGTGCCTTGTATTCCATTTCAACAGCCTTCCCGATGGCAATCAAAGCTCTGGTGGTCTTCATTCCATGGTTGACACCTCCAGAACCTTGTAAACGCATCAACTCCAGAATTGTTATATAAGACAACCGGTCCGCTTTCACAAGTGCGAGGTAAGGGGAGAGTAACTGCGTAGTCTGGTCATGCCTGTTTAACATTTTGGCCTCGAATGCAGCGATGAGCTTGATCTCCGATTCCAGCCGTGATTTGAGATTCTGGTGCCACTGCCACATCCACGACTGTAAAGTTGAATCCTTGAGGCGATTTTCAGCGTTGATGCCCAGACTTTCGAGGTATTCATGTTCTTCTTTCATCCTTTCACGGGCAATCTCGTACACGGAGGTTTCAAGGTGTTTCTGGCGAGCTCCAACATCTTCAGGGAGAACACGTCGCGCATATGCGATATGGGCAAGATGGTTACGAAGAAGTTTGATGTTGAACGGGATTTCTGCTGGTAATTCGACGCCCTGTTCGATTTCTTCGGGTGACAGTGCCTGAATAAAATAAGGAACCGAGTTATAATGAGAAATAGAAATTTTAATACCTTGCGACGCAACACGGGTGTTACTTCATCATCAGTGGTGGATTCCTCCCCGGCCGCAATCGCTTGCGCACGACTGAGCTCTGTCACAATTGCAACTTTATCCAAATAAATTGCCGCCTGGGACAGGGACATGAGAATTGTCGATGCGAGGTCAGAAGACGCGATGGTCCTGTCAGCAACGACATCGACGACGGAAACCTCTTTGTTCAACATATGTTCGAGAAGTTGGATAGGGTGTAAAGCAAGTTTTGACTGGACGGGATTTGAAGAGCTGGAATTGTACCTAAGTACGTTCGGTTAGACATTGGGTACAGGTCAAGAGAGCGGTCACGAACTTGTGCCAGGTTTGTAGCATGAGGGCAAAAGTGCCAGCATTTGGGGACATTTGCTCGCTCCCGTTCTCCATGTCAGTGTACAGTTTCCATAGTTCGTCGACCCAGTAGGCCGTCTGCTGCGCATCCTTTTCCGCCATAGCCATGTAACTCTCCATTACAAGGTTGTACATGCTCACGTGCAAGATAGCTGATCCTTTTTTTGTGCGTAGACGGTCGAATATGAGTTTTGCGCGTGGGACATCGTAAAGGTTATGGAGACATGCGTCCATTACAGCTGCCTGGTCTTGAGTTGCAGAATCTGTGAACCAGCGTTCGCGATCGTTCAGAGGGACATCACTTGGGAGAGGCGTTGGGAGGATGGTGTATGGTATCTTTCGACCGAGAAAATCTTCTAGAAGATGGGAAGACGAAGAAGCAGCCGAGTCCTGATCATGTAGGACATTTTGAGGGGGAGGAAAGAAAGCTGGGAAATCTGTGCGAGGAAGATGTGCTGTCGCAGCCGCTGGAGCGTTAAGCTTTTTGGAAGGAGAGGAATACAGGCGTGCTGGACGTGGGAGGCCTTGACGAGACGACAATAAAGTCGTCTCTAGTCGACGGGCTGTTCTTGGGATCATCGTGGTCGGAAACAAACAGTAACTGGTTACTGCAGCAACACTTGTTTCTGCAAAATTTCGGATTCCCCACTTACTCTCACGTGACCGATGCCTTTTTCTTTCATCTCCAAAGTCATGTCTCTTGCATGAACCATTGTGTTCGATCTATATCTCCACGCTTACTAGGCAAACCCAAATCGCATAAAATGACAAGCCCATCGCCAAACGGTTACAAAGGTTGGTCTCGTGAAGAGTTGATAGAAAGAATTACTTTGCTAGAGAGCAAGAAGGATCGTCCGGTTGTACAACCTGTCATACAACCGAAACTGTTCAGTTTCTCCAGCCATCCTCGCAGGAAGATTGCCCTCAAATTTTCTTACTCTGGCTGGGAGTACGGAGGGCTGGCATTTCAGCTGGGACCTACGCCTCTGCCCACCGTTGAAGGCGTCCTCTTTGATGCTCTGGCGAAGGCTCGATTGATTGATCAGGAGGCAGGATTTGAAGGTTGTGGTTGGGAGAAATGTGGGCGTACAGATCGGGGCGTCAGTGCCGCCGGTCAGGTTGTTTCATTGTGGGTGAGAAGCGCTTTGCCTGCGGAACACAATGACAACCTAGAGTTGGCCGAAACTTCTGTGCCTCCTATATCTGCACCCTCGCAAGACCAGGCTCCGACCTCAGAGTACCAAATCACGGATGCGGAAGATGATTTTGGTTCATTGGATATCTCTAGTATACCCTCTCTATCCGAGGCCACAACCTCGAAACCGACGTTTGAACACGACTATCTATCTATCCTGAACCGGCTTCTTCCAGACACGATTCGAGTTTTGGCATGGTCTCCAGTTGCTCCCAAATTCTCTGCCAGATTCTCATGCCTTTATCGACATTACAAGTATTTCTTCTCTCCACTAGGATTGGATATACCTCGCATGCAGCAAGCTGCTTTACGATTGGTTGGAGATCACGACTTCCGCAATCTCTGCAAACTCGACCCCCAAAAACAAATAACGATCTTTCGGAGGAAGGTCATTACGGCCGAGATTGAACCTCTGTCCCTTGCTGAGAACGGAGAGGGCGTCTATGTATTTAACCTGGTTGGGACTGCTTTTCTTTATCATCAGGTCCGCCATATCATGGCAATCCTATTCCTAGTCGGGACAGGCCTCGAACCTCCATCGGTGGTGTCCTCACTATTGAACGTCGAAGCAGGGGTCGAACCAACAAAAGACGGAGATTCACCTTACGAAGTAGTTGACCGCAAACCCGAATACCAAATGGCAGATGCACTCCCACTGATGTTATGGGAATGCGGATACCCCGAAACGGAAGTGAGCTGGAGAACAACAGGAAAACCGGACGATGATGGTTCAGCTCAAGGCGGCACTTTATATCACCAGATGCAGTCCATTCACTCCAGATCACAGATATACACCACATTGAACCAGCACTTCTTCGCTGCGGCGTCGATACACCACCCGCCTCCACCATCTCTATTTCCTGTATCTAACGTCGAACTCCTTCCACGTGAAGCGATGAATATCCCGCTTGGTGGTGGGACGTTCAAGCGGAGCAATAATTATACACCCTTGTTGAAGAGGAATAGATTGGATACGGTTGAGGTTATGAACGAGCGATGGAGGACCGGCAAGGGATTTAGAAGGGATGAGAGACGGAAAGCAGCTGAGGGCGGCCCTGTTCCGGACGACGACGAAGATGAGTGAGAGGAAATCTCAACTCCTCCTCCGTCGTGATCATGTTGTGACATCTGATGCATGTATACTATCCTGAAGCTGCAACATCCACTGTTGCCGATTGAGTGCTGGCTTCCTTAAATTACCAGCTGCGTCGTTGTGTCAATTCAAGACGCTGACCAGCGCACACACCAGAAACTCTGAAAATTATACAGACCTTCTTTAGCCAGGGCAAGTCGCGCTGCACTTTCTTTCAGTGGATTAGGAAGAACAGCCGAGGACTTGCAGCATGTGCTTCTAGCAAAGTACAAGCTCCAATTTGACAAAATTGCCATTTTGTAACGGCAACATAAACATACCGACGGGTATCCTCATGAACGCGTCCGCAACGCGTCACGGTGGGCATCCTGTTGCACTTTGGTTGCATCAGTCGAGATCAGCATCAGATGCATACCGTGATGAGGTCAGCGGCGCCGACATGAAAACCCCTGTATTTTTTTTTCTATCTGCCGTTTGCACATGGCGAATACGAGGAACATACGTCTCGCGAGGTGCGGTGGTGATGCGAGTCGTCGTTACGGTGGGGGGCCGGGATGAATAGATTCGGGCATACAATGTCATTGCGACCTTTTGGTCTTTCGGCGACGGAGAAGACTTCATAAAATTTCGAGCGCTCTGAAAGGAACAATGAATTCTGAAGTCACTGTTTCCCAACTGTAATCAGGTCGGCAACCGTGAGGTCGAAGATGTTCCTGGTGCCTGTCTCGAAAATTATAAGGGCGCTCTCCTTCAGACTTGAGTGAATGGTTAGAAAAACAAGAAGGGGTTAAATTTGCTCAGCGCTTGCTCATAGCATTATCTGGTACCCTGAAAGATTGATGTTTGAGATTGGTGACCAGTCAACTGCGCCAAATGGAAAGAAAATCTGTTTCGACGTCCCTTCGAATTATATCATGTAGATCTGAGAGAGAGCGGCTGAGAGCGGCCGCCAAAGTGGCTCGCGAGTTGCTATGCAACCGAGTGTGATGTCGTTGTGGTCAGTTGCTTATAAGAAAGGCGACCAACTGTATTGTTCCTACTTTACACTTTCTCTCATTTCTCTCTTTCCACCTTGCTTTGCTTCTGCTCAGGCCGCCTAGTGCGTGCTCCCAACTCTACGATCGCCGACAGACACTGGTGTCCTTTTCTCTTCGGAGCACTTTGACAGTCTCAAGCCCTCAACGCACCCCATTCATTTCATTTGTATCATATTTCAGGATTTTATACCATGTTCTCAAGAAGCTTTCACGTCGCCCTCTTGTCTCTTTCCTTGTCTTTTGTCGCCCATGGTGCGCCACACCATATAGTTGGACACAATCAGCAATGTCCGGTGAGCATCCACCCAGCCCTGATACTACAAGAATCTTTGCTTATAACCAAATCCTAGTCTGTGAGCACAGTCGTTCGAACTGTTACAGTTACCGCTGGTGCAACCGCACCCACTGTAGTTAACAATGGCGGCGGAAAGGGAAATCAAGGTGAGGAGTTTTAGCAAACTTCATGTCGCAATCTAATCGTGTGACCTGAAGCGTCCTCTTCCGCGGCTGTAGTGAAAACCACCACCGCTGATAAAGGAGCTACAACTACCGCTAAAGCCACGACCACAGCAAAAGAGAGTAAAACCACTGCCAAAGGGAATACTACCACTGCCAAAGGGAATACTACCACTGCCAAAGGGAATGCTACAACTACCGCTAAAGCCACGACCACAGCAAATGGGAATACAACCACCGCGAAAGGGAATACAACCACTGCCAAAGGGAATACAACCACCGCCCAAAGCTCTTCAGCCGCGGCCACAGCTAGTGCGGCACCAGGTGGAGGTGGCAACCCTCAAACATCCTTGAGTACGTCAAGTAATCTTCTGACGATAAAGTATATCTGATCGCCTCATTTGTTTATAGCCATCGACCCTCGAGTCCTGGCCAAAGGATTTGAGAATGACGGCCAAGATGTTCCTGCTGCCGGGCAAGTGAGGTCCTTGACATCTAGCAACAACTTCATCAACTTTTGTCTGAGCATCCCCAACTTGCCCATCACCAACGGCAAGCAAATCACAACTGGCTCCTGCAATCCTGCTCCCATCGGTGCCATTCCCTCCGTAGACAACATGCCCTCTTCCAAGTTCTCCTTCCCCCAGAACTTTGGGACTCTGAAAGCCAATACGGCTTTCACGGTCGAGATGCAGATCAAGAACATGCAAACTGGTTTCTTTGTCAACGCGCAAGCGAACTACTTTGCCGCACCCCAGCAACTCAACGGACAAGGTCAAATCCAAGGTCACTCGCACGTCGTTATCGAGCAGCTCACTTCACTCGACCAAACCACTCCCACTGATCCCAAGAAGTTCGCTTTCTTCAAGGGCTTGAATGCTGCCGCTGTGGGTGGTAAACTCACTGCCGATGTCACCAACGGTCTTCCCGCAGGCTTTTATAAGCTCTCTTCCATCAATACAGCTTCCAACCATCAGCCTGTTATCGCCCCCGTCGCTCAGCACGGTTCTCTCGATGATTCCATTTATGTGCGTTCCCCTTGCGAATCTTCTTACTACTATTAACCCCCGCTCTTCTGTTTAGTTCACTGTCACAGCTGATGGCCGTCAACTCGCTAGTGACACCAACACGCCTGATGTCCCTCCTGCGCTTTCTAGCTCTGCTGCTTCAAGCTCAGCGGCAACAACAGCTAGCTCAACCTCGGCGTCGGAAGCTGCTGCTACAACCCCAGCCACAGACGCTAGCACGAAAAGCTCAGCAACAAAAGCAGCTAGCTCGACCTCGGCGTCGGAAGTTGCTTCAAGCTCAGCGACAACGGCAGTTAGCTCGACTTCGGCGTCGGAAGCTGCTGCTACAACCCCAGCCAGAGGCGCTAGCGCGAAAAGCGGGAAAAAGCGAATGGTTTATTAACTCCCTGTAAAGATGTAGATCCCAGCGATCTCTGTCTAACGCTCTCATTCACTTATTTCACTTGGGCGGCATATCATTATGCATTTGAGACTTGGCTGACGAAATCAGTTATTTCTTTCATTTTTTGGGCACCTGTATTATAGTCTTTCGGCGTTGTAGTTCCTTTTCACACCAGCACGCACGCCCCAGAGCATTGCAATGGATTTGGAATTGTGTGATCGACTTGTGACGTCCTTACATATAATTTGTGTAGAGAACGATCATGTCAACATCACACCTCGAAGCAAGTGGACCGAACAACGACGCCGGAACGATTGTGAATGGTTTTAAAGGTCTTCCCAAAGAACGTCTGGGCTGACCCCGCGCTTGCTCCATGCTAGAAATCCCTGCTCGAATACCTTGATCTGTCGCAACTCGAATGTTTGAACGAATCATCAAGCCATAAGTTCGAGTCTATTGTTTCAGGCAAGGCGAAGAACACATCGGGTAACAACTATCTATTGAGCGATGCGGATGAGCAGCTACTCTTGACTATTCCTGTGAGTGCTCAGATTGCATATGCATATATACTTGATCTAATCACGCTTGCACAGTTCAATCAATCCGTTCGCGTTCGCAGCATCGCGATCCAATCCTCGTCAATTGACCACGCGCCCAAGACGATCAAGCTTCTCGTTAACAGGCCGTCTTTAGGGTTCGACGACGTAGAGGACGCCGATGAACCTGAAGTAGCGCAGGTTTTGGACATATCGAAGCAGGACGTGCAGCAGGGGACACCGATCAATGTGAGATATGTGCGTTTTCAAGCAGTGAATAGTTTGCATGTGCGTTTGTGATTTTTTGGGTTGTACCCCGCTGGTTGAAGCTGAAGGTTTATTGGTTGATTGGGATTCAGATTTTTGTCTCTGCGAATCATGGAGGGCAAGACGAGACGAGGATCGATAGTATTGATGTCTTTGGGTTGCCGGTGGAGTGAGTGCTTTTCGTTGCGGGTCGCAGTATCTTTACTAACAGAGTCTTTTGAAGGACGACGAAAAGTTTGAGTGGTCTCAAGCAGCCGGAAGGCATTTGAAAATTATAACAACGCAATGTGCATATTGGTATCGGGGTTCCTTTAGATTTTGGATGTAGATCAGTTATACCTCCACCCTGTTAAAAACGCTGACAACATTTGGGACATGGTTCACTCGAGATTGATTGGGATTGAACTCAGTTGAGATGAATTTACTCCCTGCCTCGGGGTGCGAAGCTAGTTCTGGTTCTGATGGACCGCTTCCTGCTTCCGTTTTGCATTTCGACAAGAAATGGAGGCAAGGCTGATAAAATATGTCTTGGGCGAAACAAGCATTCCGAGATTAGAAGTAGCGATTGAGTAGAAACTTGAGAATTGATTGTAAGAAATAAAGTGTTTGCATACTAATTTCCTCTTCAACAAACTCCCAACATTAATATGCAGGTACGAGTCGACCAGGCCTGGCGTGGCTGCAATGTGCGTTGGCCAAGAATTATATCCTAAAGCCATCTTGTCAAGTGTAGCTCCATCTGTCCCCTTTGACGCGACTCTCTACAAGAGGTCATGTCAAGTCTGGGGATGAAAATCAGAATCGAATATTATATGATTAGACAAAAATACTTGCCATGGGTATCTCTTTCAGGATTTACGGGGTAGCACCGGTACACCACCACCGAAACCGAAGGACGAAGACAAACCGCCGAAGGCAGCTTCGTAATTCTTGGCAGAAGAGCCGAAGGATGGTGGGTGAGAGGGGTATAGTTGAGGAGCTTTCGATGATTTGTGCGATTTCTGTGGCATCGCGGCGACACCACCGGCAAAGCCGTAAGACGACATCAGACTGCTGAGGGCAGCGTCGTAGTTCCTCCCATTAGAAGGGGTGTTATGATGCAAAAGCAAAGAAGTAGTAGACGAGTTCATGGCGAGAATGGTATGAGGCAGATTGCGTTGTGTCGAAGAAAGTTCTTGTGGTTGATACTATGTTTTTTGGTGGTAAGTATTCCATGCTCTTATATGTTTTTTCTGAGTCATGAAAGTCTTGGGAAGATGACTGCGTAGAAAGCGCAAAAGCGCAGGTGCGCGGTACCGCAGCGAACCGTAGGACCAGAATATGACATGGCAATTGCAAAAAAACTTTGTTTGGACTGCAAATTTCAAATGGTATTTGCAAGTGTAGACGTGACTCGACTCGCGCAGCTGCGCGACACCGCCTCACGTGTGCAACTCTCATGAGTCTACTGCGATCTACTGGGGTCCGCAATCCACCATCACGACGCGTATTGTTTTCGAGAAATGCTGCAAGATGGGTCAAGTCACTATTATACGTCGACCCCGCCGTTGCTGTTGTCACAAAACCTCATGGCCTCGTCTGTCAGTTGATACATCGCCAACTGCCCGCTGTACGCCCTACAACTCCCTTCCATCATGCATTCTGACATTCAATCATTAGGGTCGGGTGAATCACTTCAATGTTATGATGCAAGGTCAGTCTTGAAAAATTCCATAATTATTGACTTGAAATTTACGCGTGTAAAGACTTGAAGGCTCATTTGTCGCTGGAGACTTTTCCATATCCAGTTCATCGACTCGATAAGGTTTGTGGACTTGTATTCGTATCATTACTTGTTGTTACAACAATTTAGAGCACAACCGGAGCTTTTCTTCTCGCTCTTACGGAATCCTCTGCCCGTCAACTCTCTCAGCAATTCCAGAAGAGAACAGTTCAAAAAACATACCTAGCTCTAGTTCGAGGGGGAGAAAAATCATTTCCAGAGAAATTTGGTGAAATTCGCACCACTCTCAATAAAGTCGATGGATATCCGGAAGTCGACCTAAGTTCCCAGGGCCAACCTTGTGCGACGGACTGGAAGCTCTTAGCCTCATCTGCAAGTTGTCTAGTCTTCGTTTTCTTTATTTTCCGCTGACTTTTTTTCTTTTTCTTCTTCTCTTTTTTTTTTTCAGCCGATCGCGCCGATTTCACTACTTGAACTCAACCTTCTGACTGGTTACAAACATCAACTTCGTGTCCACTTGGCGAAATGTTTGCATGGTTCGTCCAAATTCAAATTCTCTTCAAACTACGCCCCTCAGCTGTTTTCAGCCCCAATACTTGGCGACGCTCAATATTCCAAGAAACCTCTGTCGTCTGCAATCACCGATGTAGTTAAGATACCTGAAGACCGCATCTTTCTGCATGCCTCGGAAATATCTTTCTTGGTTTGTCCAAATCACTTTCCTACCATTACCTTGTTTGATCAAAATTTCAGAAATATAAGTCCTCTGGACCACACAAGCAATTTCGTCTCGCTGTACGCGCCCCTCTTCCTCGAGAGTTTTTGAAGCTTTGTAAGGACCTCAAGATCCCGTTACGCACTGCGGACATTCTGGGCGGCCTGGCGATCGACGGGGAGCCCATGAAAGAAGATGCTATTGACGAAGTAAACGGGCGCTGGGTACACGGGATTACTCCTACACAAAAAAAGGCAATAAGTTACCTGGAAAATCACACGTCACAAACGTGACCTATATACGAGGCCAACAACGATCGAAACAACGCTTGGAAAGTCCAAGTCAAGAAAAACTATCCTACAAATAAATAATTGTCCTTGTCGTCTATCGTCAATGACCTGCTGGGGTCTGCGTCTGTGCTTGTGAATTCTTGATGGACGCGCCTAGGACTTGGCCAAGGCCAACTGCGATGGCACCAATGGCGTGAGCCGCTCCCGACGCCAACACCGCACCACCTGCGCCAGCACTGATGGCGGGAATGGCGGGGAGAGATCCAGCAGTGATAAGGATAGCGCTCAAGACGCTCATTGCTTTGGGATGTTCGCTGGTGATGTAGTCCAGCGCCGTGCAGGCGTTCAACAGCCACACTGGCGCGTTGGCGATTGTTGTGACGGCTGTAGAGGGCTAATCAGAAGACGATCGTTTGAAGGCAGGAATGGGGACTCACCGACTTCGTCTGTTGTCTGTGACCTTTGAGGCGTGGTTGGCCTTGAGATGTTACTATGAGAGGTGGTTGTCACAACCGCGGATGTGGATTTGGACTTCTGGTGTCCAGGTCTTTCAGGCGTTTCATCCTTTGATCCGGAAACTGATGGGCGGCGAGCGGGCCAGAAGGATGTCGACGATGACGCGTCTACTGTTGCGGCTCTGTCACGCATTGAAGGGCGGGAAACCACCTCGAATTGCTCGCTCCCACACGGTTCTTCGACCGGCTTCTTGTTGAAGAAAAACATGGAGTTGGATCGTGTGGGCGGTGTTCGTTCCGGAGACTCATCAGTGGTGGCAGGAGTGGTCTTGTCATCTTCCTTGTCCTTCTTCCTCATGAACCAAAGTCCAGAGGACTTGCCCTGGACTTTTATGGTCTCCGTTGCGTCCTTGTCAATTCCCCCTGGTTGGTCGGCTCGTTAAGCTCTCTGGTGACGACGGTCAAGAATCCAAAACCACTCACAACCCATATTCTGCATTGCAACCTTGAACTTCTTCCATGTCCAGCGATATTTCCCCCCATGCACTTTAACGATAATCTGTTTCAGCTCATGGAGCCTATCCGCCCGTCACACATCAGCAAGTTCAAAAGTCAGCAAGGAACATAATGTGACCCACCTGGCTTTCGCTTTTGGTCCCATGAAATGCTGCGCGACTTTGTACCAGTATTCCTCCGGCACCCCTCGCTCGATGCACCCCGCCTTTATTTGGTCCAGCCACTCGTCGACGGGCAGGTCTTTCTTTGGGTTTCCGCTGAATATTGGGCCGTTCGTCCACTCTGCGAAGATGGGCGTCAAATCGAATGGCTTTATCTTGAATGCGTCGAGCATTGTGAAAATGTGTGAGTGAGCGAAGGAAAGTGAGTGGGTTAGTGAGATGCTTAGGTCGTGAGGTACCCTTTAGTTGCCAGGGGATGTATATACGTCAAGCCTCGTTGTGAATGTGTGTTGATGATGGCTATGCCTTTGCCGCGGCGCGACGCGTTTGAGGGATCGTTGAAAATTTCCAACGACATGCAACGTGAAGAACATGCTGCATATCGTACTTGTTGATCAATAGGTTTCGAGCATCGAAGTTCGAGTCGAAAAGAGCAAAATTCATTTTCAGTGCTCGGTTGTAATTAGGATGTACAGAACGCTAATTATGGCCCGCAGGTTGCCCATCGATTCACTGTAAGATACATTCGAGGGTATAACCCCAGATCAGGAGCATTTAGGGCATCCTCTAAATTCGAACCCGAGGTTAAGGCTCAATTTGGGGTTGAAACCTCCTTCCACACGCTCACCGGGCACGGATCAGTCGCTGTGGAGCCGGATAATTAGCCCCGGACTGTATCGTAAGAAACGAGTGCTTACTCTGTAGCCACCCATCCATACGCCACGCGATCATAAACCACCTCTCTTGCCTCATTGTCTTCATCACAGCCTTGCTCATCAACCACCTGACTTCTTGCTTCGTAAAGTCGACATGATCCTGCGACGTCATAACATAGAAGGATCCTTTCAACGGGCCTTGCGCGCCACCATCGATGATGGATGGTAATTTGCGAAGAAAATTTTCCGGGGTATGTTCTCGGAGCACCTCTATGGATCTATAGAACAAGAGAGCCGTGACGGCGTCGTTGCCAGGAAGATGGAACAGCTGCACATTGGGTACGACTTTTGCTTCATACAAGCCAATAGCATCAGGCGTCGAGGCAAGGTTGGGAGGGATTTGCACTGCAAACGGTAGCCCTTGGTGTGAGAGAGCCAGGATGGCTTCGAGCTCAGCAAACCATGGGTCTAGACGTAAGCGATGTAGGGGAACTTTGGCGCGTATGTCAGATATCGGCCGAGGGAGGAAACCTTTGTACGTTGCGATATCAGCGTTGAGTGTATTATTGAGTATGCTGTTGACAAAATCCGACAACCAATGTGCGGGGTAACCGATGTTTCTAAGTTGAACAAGAAGGTTGACAAAAGCAACGAGGTTGTTGGGCAACTTTATCAATTTGGGACGCGGCCTTGACTCGCCTGGGGAGATGATAGAAAGCAGAATCCTCGATAGCCAACTATGAAGACTGTCTCGGTTCGCTAGAGAAGACAAAGGTCTCGGAAGCGTGGCTGGAGAGAGCGTAAGGATGTCATGCACGGCTTTCGCGTTGATAGTGCGAATCCCAAGATATCGTTCGAGATCTTTGGGCAAAAGTAATGTATAGCTTGAATGTCGTAAGACGCAAAAATCATAGAGTAGTCAAGAGAACATACTTGTAGCAGAATTCGTCGTCGTCGTTCCATATTGGGGAGTTGAAGAGACAGTTGGAGGTAGCTGCTGCATCCATATTTTGCTGAAGGGCAGGAAGGACATAGATGGCGGTATTCAAAGTGCCATGTGTGTAGTCGCTGCAAGAAATGAGAAATGGGAAACGGACAGAAACAGGCGCGACTCACGGAATGTTGCTCAGCCAGATCCGGGTGAACTGTTTTGTGAAGTGCGAAGGTCGTGTGTCGGTCCCAAGTCGAATCTTGGAAAGCTCCTGATTAATCTCTCCAACAATGAATTCCACCTGGATTGATCCCTTCAACAATTTGATGGCGTCCACCACCGCGTCGAAGAAAGAAGAGATATGTGCAAATGCTGGACAGTGTTTCTTGGAAGCAGTGTCTTTAATAACAACGCCGTGATCCTTGTTGAACCTGGCTATCTGCTGCACTACGAGGAACGCGTCTATCTCCATAAACATGTTCCCATCTTGTGTTCCATCCTTCATAAAGGTAAGGATAAATATATCCATAGAGAGAAAAGGGCATGAGACGTACCAGAATTGTCGTATTTGGCTTCCATGATTGGTTAACAATCTTTGCTACCTGTTGGTGAAAATGAATCAAAACTGGAAACCGCCGGTTCCAGCAAACCCTACCTCTCTCGCTTGCTCTTCTGTGGCCCACTCGTCGTTCAGCTTTTCAAAGCCAGGATGCCTATCAATAAGCCCCGTAGGAGGTACGTAAACCTTCGTCGTCTTGAACCACGAGGATTCTTCCTCCAAACCCCATTCTGCGTTGTTGTCAAACTTGCGACTAACCATCTTTGCCGCTAACGCTTGCTTAATGGTTTTGACCACCTCCCGAATCTTAGCAGCGCTCGCCCCTGGAATGTTTCCCACTAGCAAGCGCAATTCCCTGTCACCGAGCTTATCAAGGGCTCGCGCAGCATTGGCATGCTCCTCCATATACATCCCAGGCATCACCTTCTGGAGCTTCTCGGAGCTGGTTTCATGTTTCAGGTCGGAGATGAATCTGGTTGTGGTAAATTTAACAAAGATCCAGTGATCCAAAGCTCGGAGGATGGGTGAGATGGAACTGATGTCGACATGCATCCAGGATGGCAACCGTGGCGGGGTTTGGAGGAGGCGAACCTTGAGATCTTTCACGGTGTCCATATACCTAGCGGTGCCCAGTCAAAGAAGGAGACAACGAAGGTGGATTGTGGTACCTTGTATAACAGTAATCCGGCATGGCCCAGCCGATAGAAACATACATGAGAGTCGCCCGTATTTCAAGACGAGTGACTTGGTCCATCTCGCCTTCAACCAGACTGTCGATGAGCATGAAAAAAATGAGATCTCTAGCGATGGTGGCGAAATGAACGTCAAGGAGGGTTATATGAGCTCTCATTTCCTTTTTCCGCACAGCGTCCATTTTTGCGTGAGCTTTGCTCAAACCTATGATGGAACCGAATGCGTGGCGGCCTACACACCCGTTGAGTCAATCATTGGATGGTGCAAAGTAACGACGTACCATCGCCAACACCCGCGATTAGGAATGCGAGCTGAGATAATTGGCCTGTTGACATTGAACGCAACTTGATGGGGTCACGTTTGACCGGGCCCCAGTCGTCGGCGAGCGAGACGACCTCGTCAGTGCCAAACTGTCGTCTGTCGTCAAAGATAACCTGAAACCTAAAATTAAATTATCTTACCACGAAATAAGTTACCCTTGGATCACTTGAAACTGATTTTCAGATTGTAGGCGAAGTCGAGATATAGCGGCACTTACGGAGTCCCTTTATAAATAGGTAGCCGAGACAGCCTCAACTTCGCGTCATGGGACAGCCTGTCGCGATCGTCAAGCGTTGCGCGAATGCTTCTCCAGACCTGACAAGCTTGGGCATTGTCCGGGGGAAAGGAGTCAGTCAAGGACACCTCCTCCAAGTTATTGGTATTGGACTGCATTTCTCGTGCCAACGATGGACTAATGGAGCCATCGCGTACGCCATGGCTCAGGGTTTTTGCAAGACGCGTCGAGAGTTTGATAGATAGTGCAGGGTCCAGGCTTAGGGCAGCTGAACGCAGGATCGCGTCCAAAGTGGAGCGGTAATCCCCTAATTCATATAGGGCAGCGCTGAGGTTGGAAGGATAAAGAGGGTTGGAGAGATCTAGTTTTTCCGCCTAGTAGCCCATAGTAGGTGACGCGAAATTTCGAATAGAGCTGGACAACATACCTCTGCATAATGCTTCACCGATCTAGCATCGCGTAAAAAAATTACAGCAGTCAAAGATCAGGCGACCTACTCTTCGAGTTGACCATCCTTAAAGCACTGGTTGCCTTTATCCTTTGCCTTTAGAGCTTTCTCCGCCGACATGATGGTCACGAAGGAAGAAAACTGAGAATGATAATGATATGGAACATCGTCGACTCCAATTCATTTGCAAAATTACACAGGCCTATTACCCCTTTTTTCATTCAAGTACAAAAGCCTGCTGGCCTTCTTGAACAGTCTTCGGTTTCCAACTACCCAGTTCCTTCTTCACCGTCCCCAGTGAGCTCGCGTTGGATTTAGCAGAGGGGATAATTCTTGAAGAATTCGTCTTTCGCCATTCCCAAGAACCTTGAGCAGCGTGACCGCGTGACAGTTCTAACTCACAAACAACTGGACTTCAATGGATCCAAAAGCTGCAAAGTACCCGTTTCCTTACATATCTTGTGCAGCTACGAAACTGAAACTCTTTATTATAGAAAACGAAAGCTCACAGATAAAGCTATTCCCAATGTCATACTACAAAACCCTGACTTCGCCGAGGATTCGCGTATGTACCAGGATTTGGTGGAAACGGAGCGGAAGCTAGACTGGACGATGATGAGGAAGAAGGTCGAAGTCCAGGACGCGCTCGCAAGGAACCCTACCGTATGTGATTCCTTTTCTACGATGCAAGTATGCGCAATTGAGTTTGTCATTTGCTTTAGACGACGCGGACGTTGAGACTCTTCCTCAGTCATACGGTTTCTGGGCAGCTGTGGCAGACTGGAGGTGGGGGAGCGGACGAGACCCCATTGGCAAACTTTGAAACGGGAGAGGGGATCCCAGCATGGGCGTTTAAGATTGAAGGAAGGGTGTTAGAGGTGAGTTTCGCCTCGGAATGATACCGTTATGGGCGTCCCTCTTGTGTATGAAAAACGCGTCTTGCTATTCGACTTGCGTACTCTTTGACACTCACTAACCAATAATTTTAAGGTTCCAAATCAAAGACACCGGGATCGTTTTCCTCAGCGCAAATTCTCTACCCTTATAAAACGCATGGTCGTCGAGCTTGACCGGGATCCAACGCTATACCCAGATGGTAACATTGTCGAGGTACATCTTATTTTTTATCTTGTATGCCCCGCGCATCTCAGACTGTCTTTCTTTCCGATGATAGTGGCCCAGAGCTCCTGGAGCGCACAATCCTGCCATGGACGGTTTCACGATAAGACGGACAGGGGACCAGCCAACCAAGATTCGCGTAGTGATGTATCTGGAGCATTTTCCAGAACAGTACAAGGTAGTGCCAGAGTTGGGTGAGTTTCTCAATCACTGTGATGTTTGTTCTATAGTAATTGAGTTCGCATAGGTAACATTTTGGGGATTAAGGAAGATAGCAGAATAGGTGTTATCCAGACGTTCTGGAATTATATCAAGCTTCAAGGTTTACAAGATAAGGTGGATAGGAGACTGGTTCGAGCGGACGACAAGCTTCGACAGGTGCGTTTGTCCTGCTACTTGTACCCGTCCACTCACCTATGAGGATGACATGTGAAGATATTCGGCACAGATACCATACCTTTCCAAAAGATCCCAGACCTTGTTAATCGCTACCTAGTTGCTCCTGACCCCGTCGTCCTGCATTACATGGTAAATCCATCATTACCGCCCCCAGACCGGCCGTCAGCATACGACGTTGAAGTGAAGATGGAGGACACGGCGTTGAGGAGCCGGATGGCCGTTATGGTGCAATCGAATAAGGAGAGTTCACAGGCTCTGTCGAAATTGGATGAGGAGGTATGGACTTGTTATCCCATCCAAGTCGGGTCTGATCTGATGCATGTTTGAAGTGCGCCATGCTAGCTCAGTCGTTGCATAATTCACACATCAAGCGGACATTCCTTCAATCTTTTGCGCAGGACCCAGCGCTGTTCATTCAGACGTGGCTGGAATCTCAGTCGCGAGATTTGGAGAACATAATTGGCAGTGGGCCAACAGAAGGACTGACGGTCAGGCAGGAAGAACTCAAGAGGAGCGAGTTCTTCCAACTGCCGTGGGTGGAGGAGGTAAGTGTATCAGTAATATTTCTTAGAATTTTGGTTTATGTTCTCCGTAGGCTGTTGCCATTCAGGAGGGTATGCGATTGGCTGCAAAGGGCATGGCATGAGTGCCTCGTACCTATCATGTGAACACTGTTTCTGTTTTTTACAATAGCACTCGGCGCTATAGTACTTATGAACAAAAACACGTCTGCTATACGTCTGCTACGGTGTTCTTTCCCAGCGTATACGCATTCAAAGTAAGCTCGATTGGCTTGAGGTTTGTTTTATGTTTTTTCGAGGAAAGGGAGCTCCCTCGCCGCTGCCTAGCGACCCTTCATCATCTTCCTCCTCGCCTCCTGCTGCCAGTACCTCTACCTCTACCTCTACCATTACCTCCACCCCTCAAAGTACTTCTGGAAACCCTTCAGCATCATTACCAACCCCCACCCCATCTTCTCCCAATCCATTCATTCAACAACCCCCAACGCACGTCCAATCCCCCACTCTCACCCACCACCTTAACATGAACAAGCATAACCATGCCCACACCAGTATTTATCCGCCCCGGCCTCGTTACGCGGTCATTAGGGTCCGCGTTGGCCCGGTCCTCCTCTGCTTGGCTCGCCCGCGGGCCAGCAAGAGGGTCTACGACCTCTTCGTCGAATCTGGCAGCTGGATCGCCGAACCGTACGCCCCCTGGCGAGCTCTTCGCCGCCGTTGGAGGCAATTGATTTGCGAGGGTTCAGTCGCCTGTGCAGAGGGTTCCGTCGCCTGTTCCTATTCATAGGGTACAGTCGCCCGCGTCCGTGCAGAGGGTACCGTCGCCTCTCCAACTGCCTGTGCAGATTCAGCCACCCATGGCGGTTCAGGTCCCATCTCCTATGCAAGGCCTGGACATGCCCCTTCCGTTTGATGGCGGGTATCACGCTGTTGAGAATTATCAGCAGCATCAGCATGGGGAGGGGTTGTTTACGTCGGCGATCAACAGATGGGGCAATCGGTGCAGATGGGGGAGCGACAGTCGATGGGCCAGCAGCAGCGGGAAATGGAGGGTTATCAACGGGAGTATCAACAACAGCAGCAGCAGCAGCAGGGGCAACAATACCAGCAGCAACAGATACAGCTGCCGCTCCGTGAGCTCCCGCAGGTGCAGCTTCACACGCAAGTTCAGTTGCACGAGGTCTCACAGCAGTTGCACAAGCACCCGCACCACGAACATCAGCAAGTCCAGCTACACGAAAACCCACAACCCCCTTTTCTTTTTTCCCCCAGCTCACAACGGTACCTCTCAGCGCATGCACTAAGTCCTTTTCCCATCACTTCGACCACAACCTCGGCCCAGCTGACGTCTTTGACGTCCAAAGCTGAGTCTCTGCACGGAGCAGACGTCCGTACCCTCCAAACGTCCTCTTGTCAAACTCTTCCGCCTATAGCTTCGTGTCGAAGATAATCCAGTCTGGTACTTTATCTCAAGCATACACCCTTTACCACTGACTGAATTTCTCCAGGGAGACACTGACAAGCCTCTTTGTGCATGCGCCTCCAACCACCTTCAAGTCTTGCAAACGCACTCGGCCATGAAATCCGTCATCGTGCGGGAAACTACGGCCCTCGCTCTGCGACCCTCTCGCAGCTGTGGCCCGTCTTCAACGCCAGCGAACAAACACATTTGATTCAACGATTCGGAACCTACAAAGCTAAAGCCCGCCAGCTCTGGTACCGACAAGAAGCTAGGAGGAGGGAACGCCCACGCACGACACTACGCTACGATCACGTTCAACCAGATCTTCCTGCCTCCGGGATGTCGTCAAGTCGCCCTCAAGCTTATCGACGTATACTTCGAGTTGTTTAAAGAACGGTTGGGTGGAGGTGCTGGTGGAAGCGATGACGTTAGGGACGCCGATGAGGGGGCCACCAACAACAAGGAGTTCAAGACGGACAATGCACTGCAGGTTCGAATTTGTCCGTCAGCCTCTAGTCTGAATTAAAACACACGAAATTTGTATATTGCTAAGGTAGACGACTTTCATAATCGTCAAACGTCACGTGCTCGATGTGACATCCACTAAAACGGGTAATATTAAACACAAATCCATTTTATGTATGATTCTAGGGGTCCTATTGCACCATAAGGACCTAGCTTTTGTGAATAAATGTATTGGACACGTGAATCAGTAAAAAATTTGGAGAAAAGTCCAATTTTGGTAGACGAGATAGAAAAATACGGTAACATCACTGGCAATTTGTGGTAAACAACCAATTAAGCTCGCGTCGCGTCTCCGAAAGCATTGCTATCCACCTCATCCACACCTCATGCCTAAGAGGAGGAGAGCTGCACTTGCAAGTGCACAGAATGGGTTGAAATCCGGGGTACGACGATTCATGGATGCGTATGAAAGAGGTTTGAATGGCCGGCAAGCGGCGTGGGCAGCGCGAAAGTACAAGGGGCATCGCGTTCTGCCAGCAGAAATTATGAGGGAGCTGGGAAAGAAGGGTATCGTTTAAACCCACATTATTGTCCTTCTTTGTTCCCATGTCGCGCAACGTTTATCCTACTTATCTCCTACTCTGATCCGGTGCTGTTATAAGTGTCACTTTTAAAAATGCATAGGCTCAGTCAGTTTTGTTCCAAATCACTCGGTTTTTTGCACAGGGCTCGACATTAAGTAAATCTATCGAAACTAGGTCTGTATTACATTCAGAATCGAGTAGGAAGAGCTGAAATCGTTTCTCCGTCGTTTTATTACCGGATTTGATCAAGGATGTAACAGTAAAGTAACGGCACGTGACGTTTGACGATTATGAAAGTCGTCTACCTTATATAAATTTCTCTCGGATGATACGAAGTGTCCTACGTCTCCCCCCGTCTCACACATGTGATGTGCTGGCAATCACCGGCGACCCATATATGGTAATCCTCTGACTTAGGGCAATGGCACATTGCCCTAAGTCGGCTCGAGAACGCGCGGTAGCGCGTTCTCGAGCACCTAACCTACCCTAACCATCTAACCTAACCACCTAACCTAACCACCTAACCTGACCACCTAACCTAACAACCTAACCTTACCAAGAACGCGCTACCGCGCGGAGAGAAAAATAACCCTATCCCTAACCATGAACCCCAGTGAAAATTGACCCTGTGCAGATCGGGTTTCTCCGGATCAAATCGATATATTTGCCAATTTCCGGCCATCTCCCCTGTTCAGATCGGGCTCCACCGATCCATTTGGCCATTTTTTAGGGTCGATTTTCACTGGGCATGAACCCTAACAACTAACCTAACAAGAACGTGCTACCGCGCGGAGAGAAAAATATCCCCCATCCCCATCCCTAACCTTAACTCTAACCAACCACTAACCTAACCTCACTAATTGTTTGATTCATAAAAAAAGAAATGGAGCGTAGAGAATTGAACCCATGACAGCTTGGTAAAAGTTACAAATTCATTGTAATTAACCACTCCACCAAACAGGCATTTATTTTCTTTGTTCCTCATGCACTATATTATAGTGTACCTTCCCACAGCCTATCATCTTTCCTTTTAAGGAATGTGAGACGGGGGGAGAGCTGTGCCATTTGATGATACTGATAGCTTCTGCTCAAAAGCATTTGCACACATATTCCGAGGATAGGAGAGAAGATCACAAGTCTCACTCACCCACAGTCAACACAAGCGCACTTGACCTTGAACTATGTCGAAGCGACTCTCAGAGTCAGAAGCTCATGGTCCACACCCCAAGAAACAGCTTCTGTCCTCTGATGACGCTGCCAGGCGCGATGACTCGGACGAAGGCTTATTTTTTCAGTCACTGTGATCCCTATTCAACCAGTCTGAAATAATAGGGGAACTTAACAACAAGGATGCGGCATTCATTCTCAAAACGATCATGGAGGGAAGAAGTGAAGATTTCAGCCACAATTTTCAGGACAGCAAAGAACTTGAGAATGTGGTCTCTGCACATCCTGAGCTGGTCATCTGCTTACGGTCAGCCTGGAAGGCATGCAGTTTCCAACCTCTCCAGCCCAGGCTGTAGTTTTAGACCAAATTGACCTGGGATGTTCCACCTTATCCATTTCCATAGGGTGTGCATTTGGCCACTGGCCCAAAATGCCATGGGCTGTGGAATGTTGGGATATTGAAAAACAGCCTTTCAAAAATAAAAACCATTGCACCTATAATAAAATATACCCTTAGAATAGGTTTTCTGCTTATAATATCTTTCTACAGCATCTATTTTTAGCCTGATATGTTTATGATTCATTACAAATCTAAATATAGCTCACATGTGTTTCATGATTGAAAATTCCGAGAAATGGTATATCCTGGATCACTGATATGTTTCCTGTATGTTTTATCTACCTAAAGAGCATCCAAATATGTTTTTCCCTGAGATTCAGAATGTTTGTAATTTATTACAAATCTAAATATAGCTCAGATATGTTTTATGGTTCAAAAATCTCACCTCCTGGATCAGCATTGATGACTGATATGTTTTCCTGTATTCTGTGGATGTTTTTTTTTGCCTGGAGAGCATCCAAATATGTTTTTTCTTGGGATCCAGAATGTTGGACAGATCTAAATATATATATGTTTTATGATTGAATATTCTTAGAAATGGTACATCCTGGATCAGCATTGTTGACTGGTATATTTTCCTGTATTCTGTGTATGTTTTTACATGTCATAATCCTTCTAAAAAAGCTGCATTTCACCAAAATATTCCAATTGTAATGATTCTCATTTTTCTCCATCAAAACTTGTGTTACAGCTACTCAAAGCAACCAAGTAATGTAGAAATGTATTTCCGATTTTTTCAAAAAATTTCCGCCTTGATCAGAGGTGTGGAGATGATGGATGCGCAAGTCATGTTCCGGATGACCTTTTGTTCTTTGATCCTTCTAGGTAACAAACAACCATCAACAAAGGTGATTTCTGAGAGCGGATCCATGAAAGTGCGCTTTGAGGGTGTCATTCAAGTTATTTACTTCATATTTCTTCAATTGCACTTGGTTTCTATCATATAGTATGTATTTTGTATTTCAAACCAGCAGCTTTTCGGATGGATGGCTCAGGCTGCAGCTGGATGACATTGCCAAAGGCGTTGCCACATAAGTACAAATAGTTGGCCCAGATCTTCTATAGGCATGGTTATTCATGCTCTACACTTGTATTCAATGAAAAATATACATTCAAGTACTCTAAAAGTAGAACAGAATCCAATTTTTCATGTTTTACATTCACGGCGCCCTCGCAAGTGGATGGATGCAACATAGTGAAGTTGGATGACGCGTTTGAAGCTGTAGACAAACAGATGCAAAGTTCTCAAAAAAACATCGGAAAAACAACTGAAATTGAGCCAGGAGAGGAAGGGAACACTACACTGACATTGGTAATATATTAGTATGTTGGATTTACAACATTGGACTTGCTCTCTTATCAGAAGTTGAATAAAAATTGTAGTAAAAGAGCATCTCTGTCTGTAAATGTCAAAAACATATCATTCCAGCAACTTGTAAACTAATACATGCCAGCTATAGCCTACCAGCATTAAGTGCATAAGTAAAGGAATATGAGGACAGGCAGTGTCAAATTTTGAGTGAAAGAACACACCTGAAAGTCTTGTTCCAACTTTTTTGATTTTTAGGAGGGTTTCAAAACATTGAACTGTGTTGGGAAATCTTGCTCTGCTTGCCTAATTTTAAGAAAATCTGATTTACCTCTTCTTAGCTAAAGGTGGGTGTTTATATAAAATTTGTGAGTACTGTATTCACTTTGATATTGAAGGTTTTGCTGTGAAAGCATTGAATAGAGTGTGTTTCTTCAGACTTTATCTATACTGTGTCCACTTAAACCATCCAATGACCATAAAACTCCATAGAGATCTTCAGAATGAAAAACTGAATGTATTCCCAAAGTTTTATGGAAATCAGAAGATTGTGGAGATACAGGTGGATGGGATAGATGCAGAGGGTCACAATAAAGCAATTGAAAGTGCCGGAATCTCAACTGTGAGATTGGAATTCTTATGACTTTTACTCCCCACTTGATGAATACATATTGCTACCTATCTTAAATGCCAATCCTATTCCTCAGATCCTCTAAATACATTTTTCTATATTTTTTTCTTCTCAATAACGAATGCAGGAGCGACTTATGCAGCTCTCCGTCAGCGCTCGGCATTTTCCGAGCGCTGTTGATGCGTGGTTGAGCATGCCACGTCGTTGCCAACTCTGCTTGTCTTCACACCTACACATCGATCAACATTGTCGTCTCATCCACTGCCACTCCATCAACCTCCTCCCTTAAATCCTCAAGTCATTGTCCACGACTGCCTCTCGACGTTTGCACAGGAATCAACCACCGGATGAAGAATTTGGGGATGCCATTCGCTAGATGCGAACTTTACGATGGTGAGCCAAATCTTACACGAGCCCCCTGTCGCACCTCATTGGTTTATCCATGATAACAGCACCACCACCAAACCTTTGACGTGTCATGCCGGCGTGCCATGTCGACTTTGAGGACGATCACGCCCATGCCGCTCCCCTCATCACCCTCCGTCATTGACACCAACCGCCCACCACCACCACAACCAACAAGCAACGGGTCGCGACTGCCGACCACTCACGGATGGCGATGAGCGCCCACTACCAACGAGCAACAACGGATCGCGACTGCCCTCCACCCACGGACACGGATGGCAATGAGCACCCACCGTCATCACCGCTACGCAGGCTTCTGGCGGCCCCTCTTCCCCCAGCACAAATCGACGTCGGACGCGCGTGGGGGTTGGCAATGCGAGAGTGGAGTGGTGGATACAACATGTACGTGAGATTCAAGTAACACTGGGATAGAAAGGTCAAAGCTCACTCCAGACTCCAGAGGCACCATCGTTGTTTGACGTTTGCTCCACCTACGTTACCACTACAAAGGGCGACGAGCGCCCATCACCAGTATCAACACATCAACAACCCAGGTGAGCTAAGCTACCCCCCCCTCCCATTCCTGAAGTCACACACACAACCCAGGAGCCACGTCGCCCACAGCGACGTGGCAATCAAATGATGAACAACAGCCGATTTGTTGTTTGTCGTCATTGGACCGACAACACGATGGCGGATGACCAACGTGATGGACAACACGACGACGACACGGGACGACGTCACCGGACAATGTCGATGTGACAACAACCCGCAAGACAGTTATGCGGCGACGACTCAGAATGACAACAACGCGACCACGACCCCGGACAATGACGACGCCACTACGTCCCGGGACGACAACCACACAGCGACAGTCCAGGCCGACATGCAACCACATCAAGAACGAGGCCACCCATGGACGGCGGTGAGCGCCCACCACCATCACCCCTCGAACGACAACAGGACGAGCACATGGCGACGATCCAGTACAACATGCAGTGAGCAGCAAGCTGGGATGGATGCGGGGGATGGTCTCTTCGCGTTGCAGAAGCTGAGCCCAGGTCAGTAAAAAGCCCTCTCCTCTCCGCTCCTTGCTTGACAATGACGATGACAGATGTTCATTGATGACAACGGAACCACAACTACGAGGGGCGAGGGACTAGCGCGAAGCAAAGGCCACAACAACGGACGACAGCCCAGGGCCACGGACAATGACGTATGACCACGACGCAAGGACCCCACACCACCAACTGTGACATGGACGACAACGACGATGAACGACGGTGACACACGGACAATGGTGACCACGATCAGATGGACCTCATATACATTAGTAGATACTTAATTAATGCCTGTACATCATGTGATAGAGTACGATGGGTAGACAATACCACTTTTGGCTGCATGGGAATCTCGGTGAGAGCGTGTTTGTACGTGTTTATCAGCAGTGGTGATTCATCAACGTCATCCAAATTGAACATGTTCAATCCATCCTCTGGCGACATATTGACATGGAGGAAAGTGTCAGAATCATTAGGAATATATTGTAAGATTTGTTTAAAATGTTTTCCCCTGCTTCATTCTGTGTGAAACATAGTCAGGAAGGTGAAACATGGTTGCACATCAGAGATACACGATTTATTGTTTGGTTCTGTTAGGATCAGAGATCAGAAAACCAGAATATGGAACAGGAAACCCAGAAAATGACAGAGTACAGTCAATATCACATATATATAGTGTATCAGTAAATATGTACCCATATAATATCAACAATACCTCTTCCCACCCACCCTACAGCAAGTTGTGCATTAACCCACATCCAGACCAAGTGGTCAAATGCACTCCCTATGGAAATGGATAAAGTGCATTCTTCCAGTTTATAAGGCATAGGGCTACAGCCAGGGGTGACCTCTCATCACTTCTCGTAAGTGCTGTTTACAAAATATCACACTTTAATCATTCACTTTGCTGCATATGAAAGCACTACTACAGTCGGCGACTCATGAGGCTGTGATGGATGTTGCTCGTCCTCGTGGTAACCGGGAAGAACAAGAATGGGGTATGTTCTTTGAGGTTCAGCATATCACATGTTCTTTCACTTAACTTGGCCTACAGCGACGCAGAGGTCTTAGGAGACCAAGTTCCGGGGCAGCACTGCAATCGGTCTCTGGGATCATATCAAACTCAGTTATAACTGACGAAGCGAACTCAGAGTGTACGCGAACTATTCCGCCATCGTCCAGTCCTCTGGCATGGGAAAATCACGAACAGTGGACGAGCTGGCAAAGACCTCCGTTGTAATTACCATGAATCTTCGTGGAACGAAAACAACTGGTACGTTTGGTCCTTGTTTGGGGGTATTGCATATTCATCTTTTCTTTTTGTTTAGGTTGTCCATGTGCAGACGACCAAGTCAGAGATTATTTAACGATGGTGGCATCCAAGAACGAAGCCTTCGATTGTGCTGACACTTTTTTCGAAGCGTTATTCCACCACACCTTTCAAACCCTTCAGCGGGGGTGTCAAGGCCTGGATTACAGCCAGGTCGCAAATGAATTTAGGAAGTGCATGTCTGAGGGTCAGATGATGAAATTGCACAACCAATATCACACAAAATTTTTTGATGAAGTGGTTCGCGAGGCATCTCGTATACGTATAAAAAGGGGTCGACAGGTATGTTGCAGCTGAGTCACGACTCTGCGTCACTTTTCTTGACCAAACTTTGGCTAGCCCCAGACAACATCTGCAGAGCCCCCACTGATGACTGAGACGTCGTCCCTCTCCCAACCTTCTACTCCTGCCAACCAAGCTCTAAAGTTGCTCACTGATTTTTTGGGCATGCTACCAGAAGGAAAGCGGGAAAAGGAGGCTCCTGTACTAATTCTCGCCTTTGACAAAGCACACATCATTGCAGAATGGAAGAAGAGTTCTGATGGTGAACAGTGGTCTGTCTTTCACCAAGTGCAACAGCTTCTCCGATCATTTCGCCACCTTCCAATATTCTCATTGTTTTTGTCAACAACTGGGAAAATCTCTCAGTTTACATCAGCGGCTGAGGAGGATCCTTCAAAACGAATCATCAACGGTGATTTGGTTCCTGGTCAGCCACTCACAGACCTGGGATTTGACCCCTTCGCTCACAAAATCAGCTTGAATGGTGACTGGGATCTCAAGAAATTGACCCACGATGAACATATCTGCTCCATGGGTCGGCCCCTGTATGTATCCCTCTTATCTCTAGAACAATTGTTACTTATGAAACTATGATAGATTTGCGACCTGATGGCGAGAGGGTTCAGAGGATGTCAGGCATGAAATCCTCATTTTTGCTGCTGCAAAACTGATGGCAGAAGAATTTGTCAAAGAATTCTCTGATGATCAGAGTTTGGCATGCCTGTCTCAACGGTTTCCGATTGAGTTCAACTCAACGAACTACCTCCACCAATCAAAAGAGATGTTGCAGGTGGAAGGGCACATGCGAGTGTGCCTCAAAATTGATGGAGCATTCCATATGATGACGACAGCATCTTCCTCTGAACCGATATTGTCGGAGGCGGCATACTTTCTCATGACGCAAGATCATTCATTCAATGCAGCACAGGCACTGAAGTCTGTGATGGAAGGCTTTGCAATTTCGAAAGGAGATCGCGGGGAGTTTCTGTGGAACACTGCTATACGCTGGTGTCACTAGGGCAGTGGGACGGCTGTTGGAGTGTCTAGCGGACAACGCGGACAGAGGTGTATTGACCCTCGGAGTAGGTCGTTCGATCTAATCGATCTCAAGCTAGGAGCCGTGGAACGTGACAGTTCACAGTACCCGTGCTCCGATCTCCACGGACCGTCCCGTTGGAGAATGCTTAGATCGAGTAGGTCTCGTTGACTCCTTCTCTTACGTATCGCCTAGAGTTCGAGTAGGAGCCGTTAGTAGGGCTTCGAGTCGAGCTTCGTGAGCGATAGTATGGTGAAAGAGATTATTCGCCTCATGTACTACATGAGGTGTAAAATACAACGTAATGACGTAAGCGTAACGTGATCAAATGAAGTAAAGTATGGTAACAGACTGGTAGTGGCGCGACGTAGGGGAGCGGAAAGGATATAGAGTATGGGTAGTGAGTACTCACGAGACTAGCATGCTACAAAGCCCCCCCACTTTCCGGTTCCCGCTTAGTCCACTCGTCTTTCAGGGAAAGTGATGTTGTCCAGCGGTTCCTTGTGCCAAGTAGGCTTCAATCCTGCTTTTGAAATGCCTTCCATTACATCCCGGAAATCCGTCGCTGAGGGCAAGTAGGATGGGCGCCGTTGGCCCCGTTCATTGTTCCTTATCCAGCACTTCCACTTTTCTCGAGTTCGGAGCTTAGCCTTCCCTCTTGCGATGTCGTCGGCCAATCGACGGTAGATGTGGTCGAGTGCCGCATTCCATTCACCTGTCCACAGATCGAAGTTACCATTAAACATGTCAGCTGGAGGGAATAGCCATCGTCCCGAGCAGCCGTTCGAGCCAGAGCAATAGCCTAGCAGCAGATCCTTTTCTTGTTCTGAGACGATGTCGTGTGAAAGATAGGAAGCGTCCTCGGATGCGGAGTCGTAAAAGCCTCGGTTGTGGACGGTGATTTGAATAGAGGGCCCCGACATGAATTCTTCGACGAGCCGAGTCCCTGACCAGCGTCGTGCTATCCAGCTCAGCTGACCTCCTTCTGCAATGAAGGCACACGCATGAGGCCGGCGTAGGACGTCATTCATCCGGGCGAGGTACGTTGCACAGTATGTGGCTGCGTTGTCGGCTGGGAGGAGTGGAGGCTCTTGAAAGCCCACATTGTAGATGAATGATGCTGAGCTTCGGTCGAGGTTGTCAACGATGATCGGGCGGAATCGTCTCACTGAGTCGGGTGGTAAGGATAGATGGAATCGTATGCCGTGTTCGATAGCAATTGTCAGGAGCCTTTTCACTGTGCCCACGGAATCCCAACAATTAGCCCAATAACGGAGTCGTGCTTCACTTTCTTCGTCTGGGATGAAAAGGTACGCGGCTTCCAGAAATTCCGGGTTCCATGCAAAATGGGGAGCGAACCATGTACTCGTTGTGTAGGTTATTTTCGCTGATTCGTCCCTTAGCAATCTCTGGAACATGATTTCGGGTCGCTCGTGAGATGAGTGGATGGGGTCCGAGATACGAGTGGGCGATTGCGACCGTCGGAAAGGCGTCGAACCAATGCCTTGAGATGCTCGCCGATCCGCAGTTCCCTGACGAGCGTTCGTCAATAGGTTTTCGTTATGACGGATCCATGCTGCTGGGCTGTTGATGGCCCGGGGGTGATACAAGGTGTCTGGCACCTCCAAGATGCGAGCAGTCATGAGGTCATCGTCCGACATGGCGCTCTGAGTATTCGGGGTGTCGCTTCGTGGGGTGTCGTCGGATAAGCGATCTTGTAAAGATGGTCTACCGCCGCTAAGCGCGCCTCCCATCCGTTCTAAGAGAGAGAGCGAGGAGCCAGGTGAGCGGTTTCTAACGACTCGAAGGCCCGTGTCGTCGTCATACTGGACACCAGGCTTTGGTGCGTAGCCGAACTTGTATAGTTCTCTGAGTATTCCTGCTGGTTCCTCCCCTGGTAAACTCGTCTTGTACTGGCAACGCAGGTATTCATCCCGGGGTTCCCTCTTCCTCCATCTCCAGAAGACAACAACTTTGTGTTCGTATTCTTCGTTGTCGTCGAACACGCCGTAGTAATAAAGCTTTGCTAAAGATTCCGTTGATTCCTCGCTTCGATTGATGGGTCTGCGCTTCCATCCTACGAAGTCGATGATGAACGCCGGATAAGATGACAGGATAGATGGGTCGACGGCGGCTCGATATGTGAAGACCTGCTGAAAATAGTGATCCAATTTGACCGCTTCCCTTGCGATCTTGTTAAGGTCGTCCTCTTCGAGGTCTCGGTGGAGGTCTAAAGTTGTACCTTGTCGAACGGCCCAGTACGTGAGATTGAGAGCTGGGTTTAATCGGCTGAAGCGTTGGTCTGCTCTAACGTCGAAGTCCCAAAGGTAAAAGAAGGGGATCTTGTGTTGCAAGTATAGGGGAATATTGATGACGGGCCAGTCGCGCTCGAGGTCGCAGATGACACCCCGCTTCCCCTTAGTCGTTGCCAAGAGCTTGCTGATAATCTCCACCGCCGTGTCGTTGAGCTGTGACTCCCAATCTGCTCTGATTGCTGTCCACCAGGACATGAACGCGAGGGCTTGTAGAATCGAACGCTTTGCTTTCGCCGCGTTGATCTGCACAAGCTTTCTGGTGCTGTAGACTTTGGCTAGGCGCTCGGCTGGATATTGGAGGGGAGCTTTTGCCTGAGGGGGGAAGCATTGATCGAACTCTACGATGCTGCGAACGCAAGCTTGCGTGCGGATGAGATCCCCGCTGCAAACTAAACGTTGTTCTTCTGCCATGGACCAACCCTCCAATCTCTCTTCGACTGGGACCGCCGTCTCCAGCTGATCGTACCAAGGGCGCTCGTTCAGAAGGAATGCGGTTGGCGTCCAGGGGGCCCATTGTTCGTCACTCCTGTACCAGTCAGGGTTTCTGACGGTGTCGATTGGTAGGATTTGGCCGGATTCGGAGAAGTCGTCTACGCTCCATCCGGGGTCAGGTAGGTTCCTGAAGACTATGGCGGCGTCTGGGATTAAGGCCGTATCTGAATCGAGTCCTATCCAAATGGCGTCTCGGTCAGCTCTAACAGTCGCAACGCCGATTGGATTGAGATGATGAATTACCGAATCCATAACGTTAAATCGAGCAGGACAGTCCTCTGCACGACTCGTCGTTTACCCAGATTTCACTCGTGGACAGTCCCTACGAATGAAGACGTGGGGTAGGATGGGCAGAAAGATAGGGTAGAAAGGACAAGGCGGTGTTTTGTTCGTACACGTGTCCCTGATGGATGAGATAGATAAGTCCGAAGAGCGACTGACATGTGCTCCGACTATTTCGTCTGATTGTCTAAAAAAAATTTGAGTAAGAACGAAAGAAGATTGAAAATGAAGGAACAGAATAAAAGTGAAGGAGATCGTGAAGTCGTTAGGGGGGTATAATTTCGTGATTGCGGATTACGTCTAGAGATTGTGTTTAGCGCGGTACTCCTTCAATAGAATTGGGGAGTTCTTCAGATCAGAGGCAGTGCTCCATGTGTCGAATTGCGGGCCGTAGTTCGCCCATTGTACCAAGTACTTCAGAGTGGCCTTCTTCCCTATTCTTCGATGACCCACAATTTTTTCGACTTCGAATTCCTCTGATTCCAAACGTCGCGTAAACGATTCGGGTAATGTTGTCCGGTCGAGGTGAGTTTTATCTTCTGTGTATTTCTTGAGGTGTTGAATGTTAATAACGGGTGAGCCAGGATAGTTATCTCCCATCCTGAGTCTGTAGACGTTAGGGTTGATTTTCTGGAGTATCTCGAAGGGACCGATCCAGCGCGCGATGAGTTTGGCTCCTTCGCCCTTTGACTCTATCCATTCTAGAGAATGGGGATTAACTAAGACTTTATCTCCTGCCGAGAACTCTAGCGTCTTTCGACCTTTATTATGGCTTCGAGCTTGATGGTGCTGAGCGTGCGCTATCGCTTGCCTGGCGCTCTCCCTAAGCATTTGTAGCTGAGCCAGCCATTCTTCAGAATTCGACCGCTTGACGCTTTCTTTCGTTGTGTCTTTGGGTAGTAGGAAATCCATTGGAGTGCGGGGTTCGAATCCGAACATTAAGAAGTTGGGGGTCGTCCCAGTCGAACTATGTACGCTGGCGTTGTACGCCCATTCCAATAGAGGCAGCCATAAAGCCCAGGACTCCTTGTTATTGGCGACGAATGCCCTCAGCATCACTTCCAAAAAGCGGTTTACTATTTCTGTTTGGCCATCGTGCTGTGGGTGGTGAGAGGACGATAGTGACATTTTAGTGCATAAGAATTTTGCCACTCCTTTCCAAAAGTCTGAAGTCCATCTAGGATCTCTGTCGCATATGACGCTTTCCGGGACTCCAAAGCGACAAATGATCTTCTTAACGAACAAGGCCCCAAATTCCTCCGCGTCCAATCCAGTCGTAGTTGGCGTAAAAGTGCCGTGTTTAGTCAGTCGGTCTACTGTGACGTGGATCGCATTGTAGCCTTCCGACCAGGGAAGGTTCACTATAAAGTCCATCGCTACCGACTGATAGGGTCTGCTGGGAATTGGATTGGGAATGAGGTATCCATACTTGTTGAAGTTCGGCGTCTTAATTTTCTGACATACGTCGCAGGTTTGGACGAATTTGACCAGGTCGGCTTTCATTCTTTTCCAGTAGAATCTCCCGCTCAACTTCTGCCACAGCTTTTCTGGGCCTTGATGAGCTCCTTCGAACGCCTGTTCGTGAGCCTCCTCAAGAATCAGCCTCCTTTGATCTAAAGGTACGCATAACCTCGGCTGATAATCGGCGTCTCTGAAGAACATTAATCCATCGTCGTTCCTGAAGAAGCGGTGACCAGGTACCCATTCATCAACTCTGGTTTTAGGATCGTTCCAGATTTTTACGAAGTGTGGGTCTTTTGCATAGCCTTTCACCCAGTCCCGGAGCATCTTCTCCTCCAAGTGCACTAGCAGATTTGGGGGCGGATTCGTCGCGTTCCAGTATTCGCTAGTCAGTTCCCCCGCCACGTCGGTAAGATTAGTGACGGGAGTTGGTCTAACTAGCTCGGCAGCTCCTTTCTGGGGTGAGGCTTCCTTCTTGCGTTTTGAACTTCGAGTGCTGATATGGCCTTCCTTGCATTCTTCCAGACAATCGGTTATGCTGTAGGCCATGAATGCCGCTTTGCCCATGGATGGGTTCGCTGAAAAGTCTATGTGAATTGGGTTCAACTCCAACGAAACCGCGTCCTCTTTGACTGGAGAGTCCTGTGGTGGAGGAGCGCGGTACAATCGCGATAGCGGATCTACGTTGGAATGCTTCCTACCTGGTCGATGGACGATGGATAAATGAGGAGCGTATGCCGAAAATACTGTTCCCCATGCGGCTAACCTCCGATTTGAATTTTCATAGGTCTTCGCCCACTGGAGGGCTGCGTGGTCGGTGATCAGCGTAACTTTTTCACCTTCAATAAAAGGTTGAAATTTAACAAGTCCCTCCTTAGCACCCAGAGCCTCTCGCTCGGTCGTTGAGTAGCGCGTTTCTGCTGATTTAAATGTACGAGACCAGTAGGCGATCACTCGCTCAATGTAGACGACTGTATCTTCGAAGGAATCCGACCAATCCTCTGCTACGATGCTATCGTCGATGGAGGATGGTAGATGGACAACCAGTTTGGGGGGTTTCTTCCCGCTTTCGTGAGCCCTTTTCAGCTGATCGTACAGTCGCGTCCCCTGTAAGTCTTTTATTTTAATAGGTTGCACCTGCTGTAGGGCGCAGCCCAGCGCTTCGTCTGAGGCATCCGTGTACAGGCGATACGGCAAACCTTCAGCGGGATGCCCTAGTACCGGGGCTTCCTGAAGGGCGCTCTTGATAGAATTAAATGCATTCTCACATTCGGCAGTCCAATTCCACTTGGCTCCCTTCCGCAATAGCTGGAACAGAGGGTAACAACGATCTGCGTAGTAAGGGATAAAAGCTGAAAAATAGACGGCCATGCCCAAGAACGTTTGTAGCTGCGATAGTTTTGTAGGGCGGCTCAATTCCAGGATAGCCCGAACTTTTTCGTTGTGGGTAGATAGTCCCAAACGCGAAACTTTGTGCCCTAACAATAAGATGGACGAATAGAATAAATGACACTTGACTGGGGATAGAGTAATGCCTGCTTTTTCTATAGCCCCTAGGACTTGATCCAGATGATCGATATGGTCTTCGTAAGTCTTGGAATAAATGACTATGTCATCTATGTATACCAGACAGAAAATCCATAAGTACGGGGCTAAAATACCCTGCATGACTCGTTGAAAAATTGAGGGCCCGTTTCTTAATCCGAAAGGCATTCGTTTAAACTGAAAGAGTCCTCGGTGCGTTCTGAAGGCCGTTTTTTCGACGTCGTCTTCATCCATCTCCAACTGTGTAAAACCGGAGAGTGCATCCAAGGAAGATAGAACTTGTGCTCCGGAAAGAGAAGATAAAATCTCAGATTGACGGGGGATGGGGAATTCGTCTGGGATCGTTGCTGTATTTAATTTTCTATAGTCGACGCAAAACCGTGGTTTGCCGTTCCGGTAGGCTATGACCACGGGGGCACTCCACGGACTCTTTGATGGTTCTATCACATCTTGTTCGAACCATTTGTCTAATTGTTCGTTTATAACCGCCCTCTTAGCTGGTGACGCCCCATACATTGGGACGGCGATTGGCACTTGTCCGTCGACTGTCCTAATATGGACTTTACTCGGGTGATGGCCTAAGCGCCCATCGAACCCAAATGCTTTCTTCCGTTTCTCTAGCATCTCCCAGGCTCGTTCTTGCAAATGCTCCGGCAAAGACCCTACGTCCAAGAACTCTCGCATCCTCAAAGAAGGATACTCCGTTGTGTCTGGGAGCTCAGCTGTTTTCGGACCGTACGCTTCTGGTTCTTCTTCTTCGCTGACTTCCTTTTCTAGGCTGGGCTCTGCCTGCTCTGACGGTTTCTCAGACTCCTCTGACGTCGACGAGGTCTGGTTCGAGTCGCTCGAAGAAACCGCTATAATTGTCACCAAAGCCTCGGCCATCTTTACAAGCTTGTCAAGACCCTGTGAAGTCTGAGGAGCATCGAAGTATTCTTGTGGATCTGTCAAGTATCCCACCACGTCTCCTTTTCTGATCACTTTTGGGTGAGGCGATGGGTTAGAGACTGGAATCCAGGGATTCGACGCGGAAATAAGCACGTTAGGTACGACAAAAGTCGAATCGTCGGCAGCAGCTAACAAGTTCTTTTCGACCAGCCATTCCTTATCCTCTTCAAAGTGACCATCTACTCTAATTCGGCGGCACTCGTCCGGGCGAAGGCGATAGTCTTCAGCTGCTCTGACCGTCCTTTTTTCAATGCCAAAACTCTTAATTTTCCTCGCCTTCCTTGCCTTGTTCCGCTTATGGAGTCTGGCTTTAATGAAACTTGCCGTCGTGCAGGTGCTTTGACGCATTCTCCCGAAGTCCTTCGTCCTACTGACTCCTCGAGCTGGGACCGAATAGGGAACTCCCACAAAATTGACCACGGAGCGGAAATCAACCTTATGGGCAACTATAAGTTCATAGTTAACGTGGTAGTCTTCTCCCAACAGGATGGGAACCGTCATGTTCGGGACTACGTAGGCTTCTGCTTCCGTCTCCAAGAGAATGCCATCTGAGGACACGAAAAAGATCGGTATTCGAACGTAACCCTGAAGCGTAGCGTCTTTGTCAGTAAGCTGCCACAAGTTCATCTTCAATCCATTCTGACAGGGTGGCCGATCTTGTAGACTTTCGAGGTATTCCTGCGAAATCAAGGTGACGTCTGCACATGAGTCCAACCTGATGTCGATCGGTTTGTTTCTAGTGGATCCCACCCATCCTTGGACAGCTACTACGGATACCCCCACTGCAGACGCGCCGGCCGGGGCGAAACGTTTCTTTTTCAGACGGACTCTGATATCCGGAATGGGAGGTCCTGGCCACTCAGAAGACTCTGTGGGAGGGATCTCTTCCGTCTCTTTCGTCTCATTTTCAGGTCGTGCAGAGGGAGACCTAAAATTCGGTTCAACTCTTTCCTCTTCACTGTTCGTTCGGGAGACGAGGGTTTCTTTCACTTGCTTCACTTCCTCCATCAAAAACTCTGAGGATTTCGGTTTAGCTAAGTAGGCTAGCCAATCCTCATCCTCAACTTCTTCCATGGTGGTGCGAGTCTTTCTTACCTGACTCCCCTTCCTGGACTTACTCACTCCTTCCGCAGTTGCCTGTGAAAGAAACGATGCCGACCTAAAATCCTGCTGAGTGAGGGAATCTTCCAATAATGGTTGGTTGACGATCTCTCCAGCTAATCTTTCATTGAGCAAGATGGAATACACGGTCACGTAGGTCTTCTCAGACTCGTTTGGCGCCCAAAACTCAGCCATATTTGCTGACCGCTTCGCTTTTTCGAGGTATGTATTCCAGTCGGGACATTCCTTATCCCAGTGATTTGCGCTTCCACAGCACTTACAGGGTGACGGGGGTAACCTACCCATTTTGGTAGTGACGTGGTCATTTTTCGCGTAGGGGTACCCTCCTACTGGTGGAGGACGTTGGCGTTGCTTCAGGACCTGGTACGCTTCGCGTAGGATGTGCTGATTAGTAGAAGGATCTGAGGATTGATTGGCAGGGAGGTTTTCCGGTGCGGAAGGAGATACTGTCTCATCGACAGGCTCTATGCTAGGGTTTGCGTTAGAATTCTCCACTAGATTAGCGCGGCGTTGATAAGTAGAGGGACCCTGATAGGTAGAGGGACTTTGATAAGTAGAGGAGCCCCCGCCCTTGTCTTTATCCGGAATGAGGCCCATTTGCTTAAGCTGACTGACAATGTTATCAATCGAGGGGGCTTGACCCCCTTTCGAAACACGGAACGCCTCCAAGAGTGCCTCTTCGTGTTCTGTAACCCATGAATAGAGTTCGCTCGAGTCTTTTATACTACTTATAAGAAGGATGGGCCCCCAGCTTATGGGGGCTTTCCTCATGATGTAGAAGACTTCAAGTGGTCCTCCGCTGATGGACAGAAGCATGCGCGTATAGACTATGCGTCTGACGATGAATTCCGATGGAGTCTCTCTCTCATGATTCCTCTCTCGGAAATGCTGTGAATTATAATAATTGTTCATCCTAAGTTGCCAGCGGTGACCTAAGTATCCATCCTTGATGCCTTTGAGAAACTTGAGGTAGTGCGAACGCATGTAGGTCTGATAGTTCAACGGTAGCGTAATAAACCATGATTTAACTGGTGACTTGTCCTTCAATCGAAACCATAACCAGTACCCTAATGCTTCGGGGATCCAACCGCCTAGATGGGCTAACTGTTGAACCTCCCAGAAGTAATCGATGGCCGTCCAATGATTGCCGTCCCATTCGGGCAATTGTTCGACCTTCAATTCCGTCTTGATAGAGGCTGGTATGTTTCCGTACGGAGCTGGTGGGGCCACTTGGTTTTCGGCAGACGGAGGTCCTCCTCCGCCTCCTCCTCCTGGGTCGCCACTCCCTCCTCCAGGGCGGTAGGGTCCTCCGGGATTCGGGTTTGGATTTGAGTTATCGCGTGGTGATCCGCGTGGAGGAAATGGATTTCCTCCGTTCCCTCCACCTCCCCTACCTCCGCTACCCCCTCCTGGGGGATCATCGTCTGGTGGAGATCCTCCCTTGAATGATGGGAAGCTATTGGGGGGGGTTTGGCCTGGTCTAGCGTGTGGATTTCTTTCCGATGGAGCATCCTTCGAAGACATCAAGGCCAAGCGTGGTTGGTTAGCTTGTTTGACGTTGTCGGCGAAGGGAGTTACGGAGGGCGTGGCGAGTCCTACTGTAACATCGGGCAATGGCGCTACCCCTGGTGTAGAAAAGTAGGCTGATTGGTCTGGACTGTTCGAAACGTCGAAGAATCTGACTCCTCCCTTGAACGGGGTTTGGAAGCCGAAAGACGGTTCGAGCCCTTCGTTGTCGTCTCTTCCCTGTTCCATGCTCGAGGATTTCTCGTCCCAAGGAGACGCCTCACCCCATTCAACCTTCTTTTTACCCTCCTTAATTGATTGACGCGAGGAATCAGGTTCGAATGGAGCGCTGGATGGTATCGGTAGCGGTAAAGCTTGTGAGTGAGGTTGCAGTTCCGGTTGTAGAGGTAGCGTGGGGTGTATCACGTCCCAGCTATGGCCTTGATGAACAGCCGCCTGTGCCGCAGAGCTAAGATGGCCTTGATGATGCGGTATCTTCTGCAGCAGGTACCTCATTCGGCTGTCTACGTCGTCAAGCCTGTCGAAGTCGTCGTATAGATCTGGCAAGGTTGAGGTCGGTGATAACGGGGTGTCCTCATCCCGATATTGAGCCTCGTACTTGCTGACGGTCTGTTGAGCCGTCAAAAGACGCTTGAGGAGTATTGAGTACGCTACTTCCAATTGGGATCGGCTTTCACAACCTTGTAGCGCGGTGGTCATCGTATCTTGCGGGTCGACTCGAAACACGTTGCTGCGTTCATCTATCAAGTTCGCCATTCTATCGAGGAAGGTTTGTAGCTCGGTCACTGCTCGGAGGAGTCGTCGTAATCGAGGTTCTCCGACAGCGACTAGCGTGTAAGGATCAGGATGGTCCTTTTTGAGGATGATATCGCTCGGTTTCAAGTTGGGTTGTTGCAAGATCCAAGAGACCTCCGCCGCGGTGGAGAAGTTGTTTCCTTGCTCGCGGTTGTATTCAATAATAAGGCTATACATCGGAGAGAGGGCATATCCCCTCTCCATTCCTCGACGGATGGCCGACATATCCTCAGTGGAGTCCATGTTGTCAGGTAAAGGAGCGTTAGAGCTCGGTTGAGGCAAATCGTTTTGGTTTGGCGCCGAGGGGGAAGGATTGCTGGAGGCCGCATTGATTGTTGACATCTTCGGCGTAGGGGAACGAGACGAGAATTTCGGTCTTGGGATCAAGGACGATTGGTGTGGGGGCTGCTCTCGCGTTAGAGGGGTCGTTTTGGTTTTAATCGATGAGGAAGACGGAGCTTCGGAAGTGGGGACTCTCCTCCACAGCGAATCAGATGGGCCAGATGCAGGTGCAGGGGTTGCGGTGGTGGAAGTCGAGTCGGCTTTACTAGAGATCCTAGAAGCTCCAAAAGGCGTCGAGGAGAAAGCGGGTCTACCCCCCCTACCGACCACAGGGGGAGTCGGTTTCGTAGGACGGTAGTTCGACAGTGTGTCGGCTTTTTAGATCTTTCGAATAGACGCGGTTGTATGAGGAATTGACGAGGTTGGTTTGTCGGCTAGATGAATCAACCGATTCCCACAGTGTCCACCTTTGTGGAACACTGCTATACGCTGGTGTCACTAGGGCAGTGGGACGGCTGTTGGAGTGTCTAGCGGACAACGCGGACAGAGGTGTATTGACCCTCGGAGTAGGTCGTTCGATCTAATCGATCTCAAGCTAGGAGCCGTGGAACGTGACAGTTCACAGTACCCGTGCTCCGATCTCCACGGACCGTCCCGTTGGAGAATGCTTAGATCGAGTAGGTCTCGTTGACTCCTTCTCTTACGTATCGCCTAGAGTTCGAGTAGGAGCCGTTAGTAGGGCTTCGAGTCGAGCTTCATGAGCGATAGTATGGTGAAAGAGATTATTCGCCTCATGTACTACATGAGGTGTAAAATACAACGTAATGACGTAAGCGTAACGTGATCAAATGAAGTAAAGTATGGTAACAGACTGGTAGTGGCGTGACGTAGGGGAGCGGAAAGGATATAGAGTATGGGTAGTGAGTACTCACGAGACTAGCATGCTACAGTTTCTCACTCTTTTGCTGTTGACTCTTGCATGAGATGCAGCAGTCGGCCCCCCCAACGTTTATGGCCAGCCAGAGAAAAAAGACCGCTTCTTCAGCCTGGCTGATTTCCTGTGTGCCCAACTATTCAATCAGTCTCAAGAATCCACTCAAGCACTCCACAAGCTTGCAAGCGATTTTCCTGAAGCAAAGATTTATTTTAGTCACTTTGTGAAAGTTCACGAACACAAGGCTATTGACCTCACCTCCCTCCTATTATTGAAAGGTCGAGGGGCAGGAGTTCTTTGTGCTAACAACCAAAAGGGTGTTGACATCATCAATGTCTTCCTGGACGAGGGTACCAGTAAGGAGGGTACAAAGAAGGCAGGTACCAATAAGGAGGGTACAAGGAAGGCAGGTACCAGTAAGGAGGGTACAAGGAAGGTGGGTACCAGTAAGGAGGGTACAAGGAAGGCGGGCACAGGTACGAGGAAGGAGGGTATGAAATTGGAGAGAGAGAATGCAGGACTAATTCTCACTCAAGTCAAAAACGACTTGGCATACACCGACATACCACAGCTAGTGTTTAAAGGTTCAGTCCATAGGACTGCAAAAAACCGGTGGACTGAACTGAACCGGACCATGGTCCGGTCTTTTTTTCGGTTGCAGTTGCCCCAATTTGGGAGGTCTTTACCATCCCCCATGAGTTCCGGCGGAATCCGGTGGATTCCAAGCGGAATGTCGGAATTCCATGGAATTCCGATGGAAACTAGTTGGCTGGAGCCTCAGCCATTCTGGTTTCCAATTCCACAGAAATTCCAATGGAATCCGACGGAATCCGGTGGAAATGGTCGGAATCCGGGAGCCTCCCGGAACAGTTTCCATTGGAATCCATTGGAATTCCAACCAGATTCCATGGAATTCCAATGGAAAGTATATTCCAGTCAAATTCCAACAGATTCCGGGAGATTCCAATGGATTCCAATATTTGTTGCTGGTATTATAATATATAAAAAAAGAAGTGCATGCACAAGGATTGACTCTAGCCTCGGGAAATGTCACGTGAAGTCCAAGCAGCAATATTTCCACTATACCATACGGCCGTTAAAATTCTATAAACATTTATTCTATACAAGCCACCCTCACGCCCACCTTCCTAAACGAGTCACGGCGTTTGCCGGCGTCACCATCAGCATCTCCGTTTTGCTGTCAACCACAACCATAACCACAACCACCACCACCGTCACCGCGACCAGCGCGGTCACCTCGCATCACGCCCACGCCAGCGGACAACGACGACGACGACGACGACGATGGACGACGACACGACGACACGACGACGACGACGGACGACGACACGTCAGCGACGACGAGGCCGGCCACACGACGACGGACGACGACACGTCAACGCACGACGAGGACGACGACACGTCAACGCACGACGACGACGGATGACACGTCAACGCACGACGACGACGGACGACGACGACGCGTCACGTCAACACACGACGACGACGCACGACACGTCAGCGACGACGACGACGACGACACGTCAACGGACGACGACGACGACGACGACACATCAACGGACGACGACGACGACGACACGTCAGCGACGACGAGACGGCCGCACGTCAACGGACGACGACGAGCCCCCTTCCTTTTCCCTCCCCCCTTCCTATTCCCTCCTCCTTCCTATTCCCTCCCCTTTCCTATTCCCTCCCCCCTTCCTATTCCCTCCTCCTTCCTATTCCCTCCCCTTTCCTATTCCCTCCCCTTTCCTATTCCCTCCCCTTTCCTATTCCCTCCCCTTTCCTATTCCCTCCCCTTTCCTATTCCCTCCCCTTTCCTATTCCCTCCCCTTTCCTATTCCCT